AGTGTATGTGTGCCATTTAGTAGGTAGTAGGTGCCAGGCGCACCGGTTTGTGTCAAGAACGGCAATGCTACTGGGGTGGGGGGGGGGTCCTAATGCTACTGGGGTGGGGGGGGGGGGGGTCCTAATTCTACTGGGGTGGGGGGGTCCTAATGCTACTGGGGGTGGGGGGGGGGGTCCTAATTCTACTGGGGTGGGGGGGGGTCCTAATGTCTACTGGGGGTGGGGTTGGGGGGGGGTGGGTCCTAATTCTACTGGGGTGGGGGGGGGGGGGTCCTAATGCTACTGGGGGGTGGGGAGGGGTCCTAATGCTACTGGGGTGGGGGAGGGGGTCCTAATGCTACTGGGGTGGGGGGGGTGGGTCCTAATCTACTGGGGTGGGGGGGGTCCTAATGCTACTGGGTGGGGTGGGGGGGGGGTGGGTCCTAATTCTACTGGGGTGGGGGGGGGGGGTCCTAATGCTACTGGGGTGGGGGAGGGGTCCTAATGCTACTGGGGTGGGGGGGGGGGGGTCCTAATGCTACTGGGGTGGGGGGGTGGGTCCTAATTTCTACTGGGGTGGGGGGAGGGGTCCTAATGCTACTGGGGTGGGGGGGGGGGGTCCTAATTCTACTGGGGTGGGGGGGGGGGGGTCCTAATGCTACTGGGGTGGGGGGAGGGGTCCTAATGCTACTGGGTGGGGGGGGGTGGGTCCTAATTCTACTGGGGTGGGGGGGGGGGTCCTAATGCTACTGGGGTGGGGGAGGGGTCCTAATGCTACTGGGGTGGGGGGGGGGGGTGGGTCCTAATTCTACTGGGGTGGGGGGGGGGGGTCCTAATGCTACTGGGGTGGGGGAGGGGTCCTAATGCTACTGGGGTGGGGGGGGGGTGGGTCCTAATTCTACTGGGGTGGGGGGGGGGGGGGTCCTAATGCTACTGGGGTGGGGGAGGGGTCCTAATGCTACTGGGGTGGGGGGGGGGTGGGTCCTAATTCTACTGGGGTGGGGGGGGGGGTCCTAATGCTACTGGGGTGGGGGGGGGTCCTAATGCTACTGGGGTGGGGTGGGGGGGGGGTCCTAATTCTACTGGGGTGGGGGAGGGGTGGGTCCTAATGCTACTGGGGTGGGGTGGGGGGGTGGGTCCTAATGCTACTGGGGTGGGGTGGGGGAGGGGTGGGTCCTAATGCTACTGGGGTGGGTCCTAAATTCTACTGGGGTGGGGGAGGGGTGGGGTCCTAATGCTACTGGGGTGGGGTGGGGGAGGGATGGGTCCTAATGCTCCTGGGGGGGTCCTAATGCTACTGGGGGGGGGGGGGGGGGGTTCCTAATGCTACGGGGGGGGGGGAGGGGGGGGTCCTAATTCTACTGGGGTGGGTCCTAAATTCTACTGGGGGTGGGGGAGGGGTGGGTCCTAATGCTACTGGGGTGGGGTGGGGGAGGGATGGGTCCTAATGCTCCTGGGGGGGTCCTAATGCTACTGGGGGGGGGGGGGGGGGTTCCTAATGCTACTGGGGGGGGGGGGGGGGGGTTCCTAATGCTACTGGGGGGGGTTCCTAATGCTACTGGGGGGGGGGGGGGGTTCCTAATGCTACTGGGGGGGGGGGGGGGGTTCCTAATGCTACTGGGGGGGGGGGGGGGGTTCCTAATGCTACTGGGGGGGGGGGGGGGGGGGTTCCTAATGCTACTGGGGGGGGGGGGGTTCCTAATGCTACTGGGGGGGGGGGGGGGGGGGCCTAATGGTACGGGGGGGGGGGGGGGGGGGGTTGGTCCTAATTCTACTGGGGTGGGGTGGGGGGGGGTCCTAATGCTACTGGGGGTTTCCTAATGTTTGGTATACTCAGTGTATAGTGTACTACTTTTGAACCAGGGCCCTGGTCAACTATGTAGGGAATTTGGGAAACTGACAGCCAGTGTATCTTTCTCAGAGAAGGAGACAGAAGAGAGTTGGGTGCAAGAAAGACATCTCTGGAATGAGTATATGAACAGAGTTTATCTGTCTCGAGCTTCATATGGCCGGACTGTATGTTGTTGAATGCTGAAGGTGAGGTTGTGTTGTGAGTTGACGCAGTGACAGTAGAGATAAGGGAATTACCCTGCAACCAGTGAGTAACATTCTCCCAACGTTCCAGTAACATTCCAACCACAATGTTACGGCAACGTAGGGAGAAGGTTGTTTACAAGGAGAGAAGACAACAGGAGTCAGAAATTAGGCAGAAGCAGTCAAGCAAGGTTAAGAGTTCATCAAGAGTTTCTTGGTTTTATTCTCTTTATGCATTTATTTATCACCATCTCAGTGTTTCTAAAGCCAAGGAACAAAAAAGTATTCCAAAGATATCCAAATGTTTGTTTCCCCAAGTAGTACAGAGAGATAGCTATGTAACAATATTCCAAAAGATTGTACAGATGTTTTGAAGAAGTGGTGAGAACAGAACAGGCAGGGTTCCATAGTGGAGTGTGGAGAACAGAACAGGCAGGGTTCCATAGTGGAGTGTGGAGAACAGAACAGGCAGGGTTCCATAGTGGAGTGTGGAGAACAGAACAGGAAGGGGTTCCATAGTGGAGTGTGGAGAACAGAACAGGAAGGGGTTCCATAGTGGAGTGTGGAGAACAGAACAGAACAGGCAGGGTTCCATAGTGGAGTGTGGAGAACAGAACAGAACAGGCAGGGTTCCATAGTGGAGTGCGGAGAACAGAACAGGCAGGGTTCCATAGTGGAGTGTGGAGAACAGAACAGGCAGGGTTCCATAGTGGAGTGTGGAGAACAGAACAGGCAGGGTTCCATAGTGGAGTGTGGAGAACAGAACAGAACAGGCAGGGTTCCATAGTGGAGTGTGGAGAACAGAACAGGCAGGGTTCCATAGTGGAGTGCGGAGAACAGAACAGGCAGGGTTCCATAGTGGAGTGTGGAGAACAGAACAGGCAGGGTTCCATAGTGGAGTGCGGGAGAACAGAACAGGCAGGGTTCCATAGTGGAGTGTGGGAGAACAGAACAGGCAGGGTTCCATAGTGGAGTGTGGAGAACAGAACAGGCAGGGTTCCATAGTGGAGTGCGGAGAACAGAACAGGCAGGGTTCCATAGTGGAGTGTGGAGAACAGAACAGGCAGGGTTCCATAGTGGAGGTGGAGAAACAGAACAGAACAGGCAGGGTTCCATAGTGGAGTGTGGAGAACAGAACAGGGCAGGGTTCCATAGTGGAGTGCGGAGAACAGAACAGGCAGGGTTTCCATAGTGGAGTGCGGAGAACAGAACAGGCAGGGTTCCATAGTGGAGTGCGGAGAACAGAACAGGCAGGGTTCCATAGTGGAGTGCGGAGAACAGAACAGGCAGTATGAGTCCAGTTAAAATGCAAAAGCATTTAAATGTACAGCATGCTTGTTTAGAAGCATCCCTTAACCCCCATGCTAAAACACACACCTAGAGACAACACCCAACACTTCAGCTGGGCTAGTTTAACCCCACACTGTTTAGTCACAGTCCCTGGTAAAAGCTATCCTATTTATCACTCCCATTGTTTCACTTTGAATCCAAAATACTTTCGGACGGTTATAATATCACCTGCTGCCACACTCTGAAAATAGAAAACAGTTGATGAAAATAATAATTGTTCTGTGACTCTATTTTCTTTTGAACATTTTGTAAAACACTGACGGACACTGTTTCTACCGCTTATGTTTCACTGTACCACATCTTATCAGACGTTAAAACACTGTATTTATTTATTCCCGCTGAAGTTAAACGGATTGATGCCCTGACAACACTGTTGCACCCTTCCCTTTTCCAAAGTCTTTGGCAGAGAACAAAAAATAATAAAAATAAAACTACTTTAGGACTTCATGCCAATGTAGTTGAGGAACAAACAGAGGACAGCTAGCTAATGAAAAGCAGTTCAGCTCTAGGTTTTGGTAAAACATAAAAAAATAAAATGACAAAACACTGAAGCTATAGATGCAGTCCACGAGTGGACGTAGAGATGGTACAGAGGTCCATAGGTCTATCAAAGAGACAGGAGGAAGTCGTTTTAGGACATCAGAAGGAAGTGGCTGTACGGTACAGTAACTCATGCTTTTTAACAAGACTGCACGGCACCATGAGGGGACCAATATGAGATCCTCATGCTCGGGAACGCAGACAGCATTCTAGAACGCCCCAAGAACTACGCAGCATTCTAGAACGCCCAAGAGCACATTCTAGAACGCGTACATACATTCTAGAACGTTCTGGTCACAACCCGAAAAGCATGCAGAATATAATGAGCATTGAGCAATGATGACCAGAGAAGACAGTCAGTTGTAACCGTAGAATTACAATGAGTTGTGATAATAATTGTATGGGTGTAGCTCTTCCTCTCCCTACTATAGGGACAGTTACCAATGGCCCCCGGATTCCCTCTGTCGCCATAAGTCAACCAAAGCAGCACTGGTGTGGTTGTGATCAAAGTCCACTTGATAAAGAAGATATCTTTATCAGTAAACATTGAATGACTGCAACCAAAAAAAGGTTTGAAATATAGATATAGAAACACGTTATCAATAAGAATGTCTATAAATAAATGACATGATATCTTTCAAAACATTGAATATAAAGCCTAGTACAGTATTGCAGGTGTAGTTCAGTGGGGGTGTTGAAGGGACAGGGTCGGTGAAGCTGTTGTTCAGATCTGTAGCTAGAATGTGGGTGTGGCTTAATGACACAAGACCAGACCTAAACATATACAGTAAGAACATAGCGAGGATATCCAAAAGTTTGAAAGATTAAAAAAAAAGAAAATAATTTACAGAAACAGAGGAATTCTGCATCCCCATAATCATCATTGCACTAGTCCTCTGGGTTCAACATAGGGTTGCAAAATTCCGGGTAACTTTCCCCAAATTCCTTGTTTTTCCAGAAATTCTGTTTGGAGGATTCCGGGGTGGAATTTTACTACCCTATTTTTAAAATAAATAAAAATATACAAACAAAAAAGACACAAACTCAACAAGCCAATGAGAGAGCACGACGTAAACAAAACAACAACGATTTAGAAATCACATTACTGTAGGAAGGAAAAGTGAAAAGTCCACAGTTGAATATATCTTTTTTTTTTTTTTTTTTTTACATGAAGGTATCATCGTAATAATAATATTATAGCATTTCATTTCTGAGACATCCTCACACATGCACTCGTCCATTCTCTCGTTCACTCACTCACCTCACTCACTCACTCTACAGTATCTGTTTCTTTCTCCATCAGTCCTTCAGTATTCTCATCAGTTTTACCACTTCACCCCTCCATCCCTCCCTCCCAATTACACACAGTAAACCAATGACGACCCCACCTTCACAGACTAACGCAGGGGAACTTCCTGTAACATACACACACCACCCATCCCAGATCACTGTAACCTCATGCCACTACGGAACAACAGTTGGAACATGGGCCTGCACATCTAGCCACTGAATTACATCTAGCATATATCTCCCATCAGAAGATATAAGGCCTAATGGCTTCCTTTTCAGACCAGCTTTAACCTTTTAAGGAATACAGAGTTATGGACATACTGTAATCATGATGACGTTATTTCTAATCGACAGATTGTAATTAATTATAACACAATGGGCCGCTGATAAATTATCATGGTACTATCGAATTCTGGAATAGAACACTGGAACACTCTATAATATAATGTTCTAAACCACTGTAAAATGCTGAATAGAACACATTTACATTTACGTCATTTAGCAGACGCTCTTATCCAGAGCGACTTACAGGAGCAATTAGGGTTAAGTGCCTTGCTCAAGGGCACATCGGCAGATTTTTCACCTAGTCGGCTCGGGGATTAGAACCAGCGACCTTTCGGTTACTGGCACAACGCTCTTACCCACGAAGCTACCTGCCGCCCTGTAGAATTAATATTGTAAAGACTCCTTAAAAGGCGAAGAGCTCCGTGGAAGCTTAGGTCCTTACTGGTAAGAGAGGGCGGAAGAGGGAAGGTAATGCTACACTGTCCCCACAGGAAAACCCTTTTTGGTTCAAGGTAGAACCCTCAGTGGAAAGGGTTTTACATGGAACTAAAAAGGGTTCTTCAAAGGGCTCTCCTATGGGGACAGCCGAATAACCCTTAACGGTACCTAGATAGCACATTTTACATTTTACATTTTACGTCATTTAGCAGATGCTCTTATCCAGAGCGACTTACAGTTATAGTGAGTGCATAAATTTTTTCATACTGGTCCCCCCCCCCCGTGGGAAAACGAACCCACAACCCTGGCGTATGCAAGCGCCACGCTCTACCAGCTGAGATACACGGGACTAGCACCTTTTTTCTTCTTCTTCTAATAGTGTCCCAGAGGCAGGAACGTTGAGCAGTACAGAGAGTAATGGGCCTGACAGTGAGAACCACAGGCAGAGTATTAGGAACAGCCGGATACACTGCGTTTCACTCCATTTCTAGGATGGATGGACGACAGCGGACGGTGTGGAAAGCCGGTAGCTATGTGGTTAAAAGATCTGGATGTGGACACCAGATTAGCAAAGAAGAGAGGAACGTTGTTGGAAATATAAGTCAAAATGCCGTTCATCTGCAGTACAGTCAGTAGAGCCTAGTTTCACTTATAATAATATAATAATAATAATAATAATAATAATAATAAGCCATTTAGCAGACGCTTTTATCCAAAGCGACTTACAGTCATCTCGCTCATCTTCTCTCCACAGAAATGCCCTATACACACACACTCCCAGTAGAAGTTGCTCTTAGACACAGATCTAGAATCAGCTTTATCCTCTACAAAATCATAACCCTAACCACTTACGGTAGCAACGCAAAACTGACTCCAGACCAGTTTTTCTAAGGGCAACTTCATCCTACTACTCTGCCCTATATGATATGCCCTGTTGATAGTGGCTAAGCTGTATTCCAGATGGCACCCTATTCCCTAAGTAGTGCACTACTTTTGACCAGGGCCCATAATTCCCTACGTAGTGTACTACTTTGGACAGAGCCCTATGTGCCATTTGGGATGCAACTATGTTTGGTCTGCCTCAGTGTCGCCCCCTAGCAGTAGTCTATGGTGAGGCAGATAAACTCCTGAATACATTTCCTGTACTGCTGTTCAGTGGGGGAGCTGCAGGGGTATTGACCTGGCTGACCGAATGGACCCTCCGCCTCGCGCATCTCCTCGTTCATCCGTGCTAACCGCAACCTGGGAGAGAGAGAGAGGGAGAGCGCGATGGAGGAAAGGGAGAGGGTGGGGGGATAGAGGTAGGGGGATAAGGTTGGAGGTAGGGCGTGGGGGATAGGTTGGAGGTAGGAGGGGGATGGAGGTAGAGGGGGATAGGTTGGAGAGGTAGGAGAGGGGGATGAGGTGGAGCAGGGGTAGTGGTGGGAAGGGGGAAGGTAGGAGCAGGGGAGGGGATAGGTTGGAGAGGTAGGAGCAGGGGGATAGTGAGGTAGGAGCAGGGGGATAGGGTGGAGAGGTAGGAGCAGGGGGGATGGTAGGAGCAGGGGGGATAGGTTGGAGAGGTAGGAGCAGGGGGATAGGTTGGAGAGGTAGGAGCAGGGGGATAAGGGTTGGAGAGGTAGGAGCAGGGGGATAGGTAGGAGCAGGGGGAGGTGGAGGTAGGGGAGGAGACAGGGGGATAGTTGGAGAGGGGTAGGAGGAGCAGGGGGGATAGGGTTGGAGAGGTAGGAGCAGGGGGATAGGGTTGGAGAGGTAGGAGCAGGGGGGATAGGGTTGGAGAGGTAGGAGCAGGGGGGATAGGTTGAGAGTAAGCAGGGGGATAGGTAGGAGGCAGGGGGGATAGGGTTGGAGAGGTAGGAGCAGGGGGATAGGGTTGGAGAGGTAGGAGCAGGGGGGATATGTTGGAGAGGTAGGAGCAGGGGGGATAGGGTTGGAGAGGTAGGAGCAGGGGGATAAGGTTGGAGAGGTAGGAGCAGGGGGATGAGGTAGGAGCAGGGGGGATAAGGTTGGAGAGGTAGGAGCAGGGGGGATAGGGTTGGAGAGGTAGGAGCAGGGGGATAAGGTTGGAGAGGTAGGAGCAGGGGGATAGGGTTGGAGAGGTAGGAGCAGGGGGATAGGGTTGGAGAGGTAGGAGCAGGGGGATAGGGTTTGGAGAGGTAGGAGCAGGGGGATAGGGTTGGAGAGGTAGGAGCAGGGGGGATATGGTTGGAGAGGTAGGAGCAGGGGGGATAGGGTTGGAGAGGTAGGAGCAGGGGGGATAGGATTGGAGAGGTAGGAGCAGGAGGGATAGGGTTGGAGAGGTAGGAGCAGGGGGGATAGGGTTGGAGAGGTAGGAGCAGGGGGGATAGGGTTGGAGAGGTAGCGGTAGGGTAAAAAAATATATAGAAGGAGAGAAACAAAAGTTTGTAATATTAACAAAAGTTTGGGTAACATTTTACATTCTAGTCATTTAGCGAGGGGGGGGGGGTGTGCTGTGGGATTATTTAAGATTCTCTTTGAAGAGGTTTCAGATGTTTTATGTGAACTTTAGGTGAACTTTCCTGTGTTCCTGAGCAAAACAACTATTAAAGTAACGATGTACGCATTAGCGGCCTGGACAGTCATGCTCAGAGGTGTGTGTGTGAGCGTTGGCTAAATGCATAGCTGTGGTGTGATGTACGTATGACTCACAGCGTAACAATATCAGCGTTAGCAGCCTGGACAGCCATGCTCAGAGGGTCGTGACCTTCCTCATCCACCTCCGTCTGACAAGCCCCTCGCTTCAGGAACAGACACACCTGACTAGATAGATAGATAGATAGATAGATAGATAGATAGATAGATAGATAGATAGATAGATAGATAGATAGATAGATAGATAGATAGATAGATAGATAGATAGATAGATAGATAGATAGATAGATAGAGAGAGAGAGAGGAGAGAGAGAGAGAGAGAGAGAGAGAGAGAGAGAGATATTCAATGGTTGTAAAGATGGGGAGAGGTCTGTCCATAATAAAGAGATGCACTACTTTTGTCACCACACTACACAAAGCAAGTCCTTCAGGCTCTAGTTTTGTCTTATCTTCATTATTGTCCAATCGTGTGGTCAAGTGCTGCAAGGAAAGACCTAGTTAAGCTGCAGCTGGCCCAGAACAGAGCGGCACATCTTGCTCTTCATTGTAATCAGAGGGTTAATATTAATATGCCAGTCTCTCTTGGCTAAGAGTTGAGGAGAGACTGACTGCATCACTTCTTCTTTTGTTAAGAAACAATGTGTTGAAAATTCCAAATGGTTTGCATAGTCAACTTACACATAGCTCTGACACACACACTTACCCCCAGACATGCCACCAGGGGTCTTTTCACTGTCCCCAAATCCAGAACAAATTCAAGAAAGTGTACAGTATTATATAGAGACATTATTGCATGGAACTCCCTTCCATCTAATATTGCTCAAATAAACAGCAAACCTGGTTTCAAAAAACAGATAACGCAACACCTCACGGTACAACGCCTCTCCCCTATTTGACCTAGATATTTTGTGTGTATGTATTGATATGAAGGCTACGTGTGCCTTTTTAAATTTATGTAGTTCTGTCCTTGAGCTGTTCTCGTCTATTAATGTTCTGTATTATGTTATGTTTCATGTTTTGTGTGAAACCCAGGAAGAATAGCTGATGGTTTCGCAACAGCTAATTGGGATCCTAATAAAATACCAAGGATGGATGCAAGAAAAGATGGAAGGAAGGAAGGGAACAGCAGCCTAGTCGTAGTCTCTTACCCTCTGTGTCCCAGGTAGGTAGCGTGGTGTAGGGGTTAGGGATGAATGAATGAATATCTTACCCTCTGTGTCCCCAGTAGGTATCGTGTGTAATGGGTTAGGGAATGATGAATGAATCTCTTACCCTCCTGTGTCCCAGGTAGGTCGCGTGGTGTAGGGGTTAGGTAATGAATGAATGAATCTCTTATCCCTCCTTGTCCCAGGGTAGTCGTAGCGTGGTGTGTGGGGTTAGGATGAATGAATGAATCTCTTACCCTCTGTTGTCCCAGGTAGGTAAGCGTGGTGTGTAGGGGTTAGCTATGAATGAATGAATCTCTTACCTCTGTGTCCCAGTGGTAGCGTGTGGTGGAGGGGTTAGGGATGAATGAATGAATCTCTTACCCTCTGTGTCCAGGTAGGTAGCGTGGTGTAGGGGTTAGGGATGAATGAATGAATCTCTTACCCTCTGTGTCCCAGGTAGGTAGCGTGGTGTAGGGGTTAGGGATGAATGAATGAATCTCTTACCCTCTGTGTCCCAGGTAGGTAGCGTGGTGTAGGGTTAGGTATATGAATGAATCTCTACCCTCTCTGTGTCCCAGGTAGGTAGCGTGGTGTAGGGGTTAGGGATGAATGAATGAATCTCTTACCTCTGTGTCCCAGGTAGGTAGCGTGGTGTAGGGGTTAGGTATGAATGAATGAATCTCTTACCCTCTGTGTCCCAGGTAGGTAGCGTGGTGTAGGGGTTAGGGATGAATGAATGAATCTCTTACCCTGTGTCCCAGGTAGGTAGCGTGGTGTAGGGGTTAGGTATGAATGAATGAATCTCTTACCCTCTGTGCCCCCAGGTAGGTAGCGTGGTGTAGGGGTTAGGTGTGAATGAATGAATCTCTTACCCTGTGTCCCAGGTGCACGATTTCTAATGTTAAGGAAGTCTTGAGCTTTTGCTTGCCTGAATACCTCATGATGAGCTGCACACCATACTATTTACCATTATTTTTCCCTCGCCGTCTATATTTAGCACCACAAACCGTTACTGGCTCTAAGACCACACTCAAACAGCTGTATAGGGCCATAAGCAAACAAGGAAATGCACATCCAGAGGCGGCGCCCCTAGTGGCCCTGGTGATTTAATGCAGGGAAGTCTGAAATCCGTTGTACCCCCCATGTTTTTACCCTCCATGCTAATCTCAGGACTTGTACCCCCATGTTTTACCCCATGCTACTCTCCAGCTGTACTCCCCCCATGTTCCCTCATGCTATCTACAGGCTGTAACTCGCCCCATGTTTACCCCATGCTATCTACGGACTGGTACCCCCCCACCCCCCCCCCCCCCATGTTTAACCCCATGCTATCGCACAAGGACTGTACCCCATGTTATACCCCATGCCCTAATCTACAGGATGTACCACCCCATGTTTACACCATGCTACTTCACATGGACTGTACCCCCCATGTTTCACCACCATGCTAATCTACAGGACTGTACCCCCATCGTTTACCCCATGCTATCTACAGACGTAACCCCCCATTGTTTCACCCCATGCTAATCTACAGGACTGTACCCCCCATGTTTACCCCATGCTAATCTACAGGACTATACCCCCCATGTTTACCCCATGCTAATCTACAGGACTGTACCCCCATGTTTACCCCATGCTAATCTACAGGACTGTACCCCCCCCATGTGTTACCCCATGCGAATCTTCCCAGTACTATACCCCCCATGTTTACCCATGCTAATCTACAGGACTATACCCCCCCATGTTACCCCCAATTTTGCTAATCGTACAGGAAACTGTACCCCATGTTTACCCCATTTCTAATCTACAGGACTTTACCCCCCAATGTTTACCCCATGCTACTACATGACTAATCGCCCCATGTTTACCCCAGCGAATCTAACAGGACTGTAACCCCCATTTTACCCCCTGCTAATCTACAGGACTGTACCCCCATGTTTAGCTCATGCTAATCTACAGGACTGTACCCCCATGTTTACACCCCATGCTAATCCTACAGACTATACCCCCATGTTTACTACCCCATGCTAATCTACAGGACTGTACCCCCCCATGTTTACCCTGCTATCTACAGGACTGTACCCCCCCATGTTTACTTACACCCCATGCTAGTCGTGCACAGGACTATACCCCGCATGTTTACCCCCTGCTAATTACAGGACTGTACCCCCATGTTTACCCCCTGCTAAATCATACAGGACTGTACCACCCATGTTTCCCCATACCTAATCTACAGGACTGTACCCACCATGTGTAACCCCATGCAATCTACAAGACTGTACCCCCATGTTTTACCCCCATGCTAATCTACAGGACTGTACCCCCCATGTTTACCCCATGCTAATCTACAGGACTGTACCCCATGTTTACCCCATGCTAATCTACAGGACTGTACCCCCATGTTTACCCCATGCTAATCTACAGGACCTGTACCCCCCCATGTTTTACCACCCCATGCTACTCTACCAGGACTTACCCCATGTTTATCCCCATGCTAATCTACACAGGCCTGTACCCCCATGTTTTAACCCCCATGCTACCTACAGGACTGTACCCCCATGTTTGACCCCCATGCTAATCTACGGACTGTACCCCCCATGTTTACCCCTGCTAATCTACCAGGACTGTACCCCCCTGTTTACCCATGCTAATCTACAGACTGTCCCTACCCCCCCCATGTTTACCCCATGCTAATCACAGGAACTGTACCCCTCGTGTTTAACCCCTGCTAATCTACAGGTCCTCGGTACCCCCCATGTTTAACCCATGCTAATCTACAGGACTGTACCCCCCATGTTTACCCCATGCTAATCTACAGGACTGTACCCCCATGTTTACCCCATGCTAATCTACAGGACTGTACCCCCATGTTTACCCCATGCTAATCTACAGGACTGTACCCCCCATGTTTACCCCATGCTAATCTACAGGACTGTACCCCCCCCCCCATGTTATCCCCTATGCTAATCTACAGGACTGTAACCCCATGTTACCCCATGCTAATCTACAGGACTGTACCCAACCCCCATGTTTACCCCATGCTAATCTACAGGACTGTACCCCCCATGTTTACCCCATGCTAATCTACAGGACTGTACCCCCCATGTTTACCCCATGCTACGCTACAGACTTTACCACACCCCATGTTTAACCCCATGCTAATCTACAGGACTGTACTCCCCATGTTACCCCATGCTAATCTCGGACTGTTACCCCCCATGTTTGTAACCCCATGCTAATCTACAGGACTGTACCCCCCATGTTTACCCCATGCTAATCTCCAGGACTGTACCACCCCCCATGGTTACCCCCTGCCTAATCTACAGGACTGTACCCCCCATGTTTTTACCCCATGCCTAATCTACAGGACTTTACCCCCCATCGTTTACCCCATGCAATCACAGACTGTACCCCCATTTTACCCCATGCTAATCTACATTACTGTACCCCATGTTTTACCCCATGGCACTCTACCGGACTGTACCCCCCCATGTTTAACCCCATGCTAATCTACAGGACCTGTACCCCCATGTTTCCCCATGCTTAATCTACAGACTATACCCCCCATGTTTACCTTACCCATGCTAATCTACAGACTATCACCCCCCATGTTACCCCATGCTAACTACAACAGGACTGTACCCCCCATGTTTACCCCATGCTAATCTACAGGACTGTACCCCCATGTTTACCCCATGCTAATCTACAGGACTGTTTCGCTAACACAGACTGGAATATGTTCCGGGACTCATCCGATAAACATTGGAGGAGTTTTAAATAACCACATCAGTCACCCGGCTTCATTAATATGCATCGTTTCGTCGTCCCCACAGTGACCGTACGTACATATCCCCAACCAGAAGCCATGGTTCAGGCAACATCCGCCAACTGAGCTAAAGTCTAGAGCTGCCGCTTTCAAGGAGCGGGGACACTAATCCAGTCTGGACCCATCCCCCCAGCAGGAGGACCCTGAACAGCTTCGTCGAACCCCCAAGCCATAAGAACTGCTAGAGTTAACCAAATAGCTACCCAGAACTATCCATTGACCCTGTTTGCACCAATCTTTTGACCCATCACATACACTGCTGCTACTGTCGTTTTATTGATCCTATCCTGATGCCTAGTCACTTTAACCACCTACCTATATGTTACATATCTACCCCTCCATTAACACCCTCGTACCCCTGCACATCGACTTCAGTAACTTACCTCCCGGTGTAATATAAAGCCCAGTTATCGTTACTCGTTGTTATTTATTCCTTGTGTTGTGCTTTTCTATTATTTCTCATATTTCTTTCCGCTTGTTGGAGAACCCGTAACTAAGCATTTCACTGTAAGTCTACACCTGTTGTTTACGAAGCATGTGACAAAGTAGGTACCGTAGTGTAGGGATGAATGAATTAATCTCATACCCTGTATGTCCCAGGTAGGTAGCGTGGTGTAGGGGTTAGGGATGAATGAATTAATCCTCAATACCCTGTATGTCCAGGTAGTGCGTGGTGGTAGGGTGTTTAGGGATGAATAATGAATCTCTTACCCTTTATGGCCCAGGTAGGTAGCGTGTGGTAGGGGTTAGGGATGAATGAATGCATCTCTTACCCTGTAGGTCCCCAGGAGGTGAGCGTGGTGTAGGGGTTAGGGATGGAATGGAATGAATCCTTACCCGTAAATGTCCCAGGTATGTAGCGTGGGGTAGGGTTAGGGATGAATGAATGAATCTCTTACCCTGTATGTCCCAGGTAGGTAGTGTGGTGTAGGGGTTAGGGATGAATGAATGAATCTCTTACCCTGTATGTCCCAGGTAGGTAGCGTGGTGTAGGGGTTAGGTATGAATGCATGATCTCTTACCCTGTAAGGTCCAGGTATGTAGCGTGGTATAAGGGTATGGTCAACCATGCCAGCGGCCCCGTCCAAGACTTTGAGCCTAATTTAATATCGTGCCCTCGAGCGCCGTGCCATGCGCCCTCACGGAAGTGCGTCACAATTTTGGGTGCCGTTGCATTAACTTCTTGCTTGTTTTTTAGGCCCGCCTCCCCTACTCCCATTGGAAGGTTGGGCTTAGTTTTGTGGTGACCTTCGCCGCTTACCGCGGCCCGTCTGTAAGCACCTTTAGGGGTTAGGGATGAATGAATGTCTCTTACCCAGTGTGTCCCAGGTAGGTAGCGTGGTGGAGGGGTCCTCTCCCCCTCATGTCTCTCTGGTTCACATCAGCCCCATTCTGCAGCAGGAACTCACACACGCGATTAAGAGCCCTGACAAGAGGAGTGGAGAGAGATAGGGGGGGGGGGGTGCAAAGAGACGTGATGGAGGGAGAGAGAGTGGTGTGGAGGGGGGAGAGTGTGTGGAGTGGAGGGGAAGAGAGAGAGGAGAGAGAGAGAGTGGTTGTGGTGTGGTGTGGAGGTGGAGAAGAGAGAGAGAGACAGAGAGCAGAGAGAGAGAGTGTAGAGAAGAGAGAGAGTGCAGAGGGGGAGGAGAGTAGTGGTGGGTGGGTGGGGGGGGAAAGTGGTGTGGAGGGGGGAGAGAGTGGTGTGGATGGGGGAGCAAGTGATTGGAGGGGAGAGAGGAGAGAGAGAGATGAGAGAGGTGTGGTAGGTTGGAGAGCGAGTGACGTGTGGGGAGGGGGGGAGAGTGGTGTGGAGGTGAGAGGGAGAGAGAGAGAGAGATAGAGAGAGAGTGGTTGGTGTGTTGGGGGGTGGGGGAGAGTGAGTGGGTGGGGGGGGGGAGAGTGGTGGGGAAAGTGGAGAGAGAGAGGGGGAAGGGCAAGAGGGATGTGCATGTTTGCGTCATCTTAGGGTGTGTATTGGCATACTGTATTCTCGTGCATACTGTGTGTATGTATCAAAGCCGAAGAGAGAGTGGTGTGGAGGGGGGATGAGAGATTGGTGTGGAGGGGGGGGATGGAGAGAGTGGTGTGGAGGGGGAGAGAGAGAGTGGTGTGGAGGGGGGGAGAGAGAGAGTGGTGTGGATGGGGGGGAGAGCGAGTGGTTGTGGAGGGGGGATATGAGAGTGGTGTGCGGGGGATGTTAGAGTGGTGTTGAGGTCGGGGGAGAAGAAAGAGTGGTTGTGGGAGGGGGGGAGAGAGAGTGGTGTGGATGGGTGGAGAGGAGTTGGGGGGGTGTGAGGGGGGGTGGAGCAGAGATAGTGGTGCTCTCTCACTCGCGCTCTTTTTTTTTTCCTTATGTTTCAGTTCTCTTTTTGTTCTCGTCGTTTTTCGTGTCTCTCTTTTTTTTGCTTCTTTTCCTCTCTTTTTTTTTCGGTTTTTCTCTTCTCTTTTTGTGGAGGGGGGGGAGTGTATTGGCATACTGTGTGTATGTATCAAAGCAGGCTGGTGAGGGGAGGACGGCTCATAATAATTGCTGGAATGGAGTAAATGGAATGGTATCAAACATGGAAACCATGGAAACCATGTGTTGGATACCATTCCATTTATTCTGTTCCAACCATTACTATGAACCCGTCCTCCCTAATTAAGGTGCCACCAGCCGCCTGTGGTATGTATAGTGTGCATGTCTGTAGGGTACATAGCGCGTGCATGAATTCTGCCCACCCCTGCCACGGCCTTGTATGCAGCGCGGGTTCTTTGTCCCTCCTCTTTTCCTTGGCTGTAGCGGACATCTGCCCCATGCGCCAACGCCTCGGCCATGAGTGGCAGGTTGTGTAGCCGTGACGACCGGTAGAGCAACTCCCCCGGGGGAGGGCTCCTGCCATGGGGTAGGGGCTCTCAGGGTCTGATCCCGCCTCCTGCTCTATCTCCACCTCCCCACTAGACTCCTCCTCTTCTGACTCACACTCTACTGGGGGAAAAGGGAGGCGCGGGAGGCAGATATAGGGGATATTGCTAGCTATGTGGTATACTGAGAGAGAGGTGGTAGAAGGAGACTACTGGTGGCGAAGGATAGAGATGGGTAGACGTAAGAGAGATGGGGAGAAAGGCCTCTCTCTGGTTCTCCTTCCGACGCTCTTTTTGTGCTCCTGCTCTCTCTTTTGAAGGAGAGAGAGGGGGGGGAGAGAGAGGGGGGGAGAAGGGAGAAAAGGAGATGAGTGGTGGGGGGAGGTGGAGAAAGAGAGAGAGGACAGTTAGTCTGGCTTGTATAGTTTGGCAAAGTCCTGAAATACGACTAGCGCTAAACCTTTGCATACTTTCAATCTGTATATTCTGACACGTGACACAGTTTTGAGTCATTAAGCAGACGCTCTTATCCAGAGCGACTTACAGTTAGTTCATCTCAAGATAGCTAGGTGGGACCACCACATATCTCACTCACAGTATGTACATTTTTCCTCAAAGTAATTCTCAACAAAGACAGAGCTAGTAGGACACAAACAACACACACGCTCCTGTGACTTACCCTCCTCGGTGACGCTGTCGACCACTGAGCCAAACACCAGGATGTCCGTGCTCCCGTCTGTACTGCCTCCCAGCCCACTGTCGCTGCTCAGACCTGCAGGGCCAACCAGTGCCAAGCCACGGACACGTTAGTCACCACAATGCCTCCACGGCCAACCCCAAAACCAGTCTCCTCACCAGCTAGCTACACAACCCCTAAACACCCCTTCCTCTAGCACCCTCTCAATCCCTAAAACACCCCCCTGTCACCCTAATGTCTCTCCAATCTAGTACTGACCCCAATCTACCTTACAGACCCCAATCCCCCCATATGGCACCAAGCCTCATTTCCACCCCATAACAGTTTCTTCTAAAGCCTAATTTCCACCCCATAACAGTTTCTTCTAAAGCCTAATTTCCACCCCATAACAGTTTCTTCTAAAGCCTAATTTCCACCCCATAACAGTTTCCTCTAAAGCTTAATCTCCACCCCATAACAGTTTCTTCTAAAGCCTCATCTCCAGCCCCTAAAAACGTCCATAATCCCCGTTTGTTCTCTCTGGTTGGCAGGGGAGCGTATCAGACCACAGTCACACATATATAACTCTGGGTCAGACTTACTGCGGGTGCCGTTGCCGGTGTCGAAGTAGGAGAAGAGGTTGTCCATCTCATCGGGACAGAACAGAGAGTCACGCCGAAGCTTAGCTGCTGCTGCAGCTGAGGACATAAAGGAGAGGGAGAGTATAAATCACCTGCAAAAAAGGTTTCCAAACTCAGATCTCATTATTTATTTGACAGAATTAAAAGGTGATAAAGTGCGAGGGTGTGACGGGAGCTGGGCAGAGCAAACCAGTTCAGCATCACATGCTTTCCTCACTACTCTTTCGACAACAGCTAAATTGATATTTCTCTAGTTTCATTGTCCTTCAAGACAGATGTAGGACAGCTTTCCCATGACTTAAACGTTCAGTCACCTGCGGAAGGAGAGGAGAGAGAGAGAGAGTTCAGTCACCTGCGGAGAGGTTTCCTGGTGAAGTCAAGCCGGGGTCGTGGCGGTATTTCCGGCGGGTTTTGGGCGCTCCTCGCATGGAGCCGTTGTGGCGCTGGCACTTCTTCACGCTCCAGGGGCGGGACTTCCTCTCACCTTCCACCAATGAGTCACTGGCTCTCATCTTCTTCAGGAAACGCCTCTCCACATATTTAGCCTTGATCCACGCCTCCTTCTCTTGCCTGGTGGGGGGAGGAGGGGAGTGAAGAGAAGGAACACCGTATATGTCATGTTTAGGGGTCTCCTAGCCCATAGGCATGTTTAGGGGTCTCCTAGCCCATAGGCATGTTTAGGGGTCTCCTAGCCCATAGGCATGTTTAGGGGTCTCCTAGCCCATAGGCATGTTTAGGGGTCTCCTAGCCCATAGGCATGTTTAGGGGTCTCCTAGCCCATAGGCATGTTTAGGGGTCTCCTAGCCCATAGGCAAACTTGCTAACCAATGCCCACCTAGGACTGGAGGGTCCAGGTTTCTTCACTCCCAGTTCCTCGCAGGCTCCCTCATAGATGTGGTTGATCACGTTGTTACCCAGCTCACACATCAACTGGAGACAAAGAGAGAGATAGCAGAGGAGAAATTAGGGTGAGGAATTCATAACCCGGAAACATGAGGCGAGATATCCCAAGAAGCTTCTTAGAAAGGAATACGTCATATCTTGACTCAGCAAGGTGAAGCTAGGCAGGAAGAGACACCCACCTTGAGTAGCTCTGGTTCCCAGGAGTCCAGTGTTAGTGACCGCACCTTGGAGCAGTGAACCCTAGACTCCTGCAGACGACAACACAACACACACAGAGAGAGAGAGAGAGAGAGACCAAACAGGTCAGGTACGGTAGGGTTTCCCAAACTCTGAGTAGAGTATGTGTGTCGCGTAGCCTGTAATCTGTGAAGGTATGGAGGGACTAGTTTTAAACAGATTAAGTTGTAATTGGGATTAGGTCTCGTGACGACGTCTGTCACTTTCACCTGTTCTATGTCCTCTCTCTCGCTGCTGTTTGGCTGTTCTCTATCAGGTGTGGTGTCACAGGTGGGGACTGAACTGACGTAAGTGGGGTAAACACCAGTCAATCCGTGTAAAGGTGACGGCTGGCTGAAGTTAGTTAGAAACAAGGTGCAGCCTTTGTAAATTGCTCACCCGTGATATATAGGTTCTGTGAAGTCCTTAATGCAGACAATTGTTTCTAGTGTTGTTTTTAGTTCCCGACCTGTGGCATTGTGGGTAGTGTCGTTTACCTGTGTATGTCGGAGCACTTGATGCATAGAAGTGTATTTAGGGCGTTGTAATTTAGTCTAGTTCACTGTAGGTATTGTAGTCTAGCACCCTCAAACTCAACTCTGGACCTCAAAGCCAGTTCCACTGTGTTCTAATCAGGGACTGATTTAGACCAAGGACACCAGGTGGGTGCAATTAATTATCAGTTAGAACAGAAAATCAGCAGGCTCCGGACCTCGTAGGGTCAGAGTTGAGTATCCCTGGTCTAGTAGTTCCCTACCTGTAGCATTGTGGGCGGTGTAGTTTACCTATGTATGCCGGAGCACTCAATGCAGAGCAGGACTCCCAGGTTGATGGAGGCCCAGCAGGGTGCAGCCTGGGAGCAGTCGCAACACAGCTCGTTACCCGGCAGGCTCTGCACCCGGTGGAGGATGCTCTCCCCCCTGCCCTCACCACCTCTCCCCCCTTTCTCACCCCGGGGCTCGCTGGCTGAGTCTATGCTGCTGGTAGAGGGGGAGGCTGTCCTGTCCAGACGCTAGCGAGAGACCGAGAACAGAGGGTGGTTATGGTTAGTTATACTGCTGGTAGAGGGGGAGGCTGTCCTGTCCAGACGCTAGCGAGAGACCGAGAACAGAGGGTGGTTATGGTTAGTTATACTGCTGGTAGAGGGGGAGGCTGTCCTGTCCAGACGCTAGCGAGAGACCGAGAACAGAGGGTGGTTATGGTTAGTCAGTTTAGTCAGTTATGGGAAGACACAGACAGAAAGTAGGTTATGGTTGGTTCTAGTTCAGTGTTTACAAAACGGGAGGTCCAAACCCAACCCACTGACTTTGGGGGGTCCTAGTTAAAGGCTTTAGGTCAGCTGGTGGGTGGGTCCCAGCTAAAGGCTTTCGGTAGGAACAATAATTGTTATTCCATGTGGTATTTTGGCACATAGAGAGACTATGGGAAAGTGCCTATGTAGGGTTAAGGTTAGGGTTAATGTTAGAGTTAGTACCTCATTGTAGTAGTTGTCTGATTTCTCTCTGTAGGGTTAGGGTAAGTGTCAGGGTTAGGGTTAATGTTAAGGTTAGGGTCAGGGTTAGGGTCAGGGTTAATGTTAGGATTAGGGTCAGGGTTAATGTTAGGATTAGGGTCAGGGTTAATGTTAGGGTCAGGGTTAATGTTAGGGTCAGGGTTAATGTTAGGATTAGGGTCAGGGTTAATGTTAGGATTAGGGTCAGGGTTAATGTTAGGGTCAGGGTTAATGTTAGGGTTAGGATCAGGGTTAATGTTAGGATTAGGGTCAGGGTTAATGTTAGGGTCAGGGTCAGGGTTAATGTTAGGATTAGGGTCAGGGTTAATGTTAGGATTAGGGTCAGGGTTAATGTTAGGGTCAGGGTCAGGGTTAATGTTAGGATTAGGGTCAGGGTTAATGTTAGGATTAGGGTCAGAGTTGAGGTTAGGGCCAGGGTTAAGGTTCAAGTCAGTACCTCGATGTAGTAGTTGTCTGATATGTCTCTGTATGCGGAGGCGATGGAGGCCTGTACAGCTTGGATCCAGGCCTGTCGTAACTTCTCTGACTCTGCCTGAAGCATACAGCTCCTAGTGGGAGAGAGGACACAAACATATATACACACACATATACATATACACACACACATATACACACACACAAACATATATACACACATATATACACACACACAAACATATATACACACAGAATGATCATATTCACACACACACACATATATATTATATATGTATATATATATATATATACACACACACACACACAAACATGTATACACACACACCGAATGATCATATTCACACACACACACACACACACACACACACACACACACACACACACACACACACACACATACAGTACCAGTCAAAAGTTTGGACAAACCAACTAATTCCAGGGTTTTTCTTTATTTTTTACTATTTTATACATTGTAGAATAATAGTGAAGACATCAAAACTATGAAATAACACATATGGTATCATGTAGTAACCAAAACACTGTTAAACAAATCAAAATATATTTGATATTTGAGATTCTTCAAATAGCCACCCTTTGCCTTGATGACAGCTTTGCACATTCTGTGTTGTCACAAGGTAGGGGGGTATACAGAAGATAGCCCTATTTGGTAAAAGACCAAGTCCATATTATGGCAAGAACAGCTCAAATAACCATCAAGCGCTATGATGAAACTGGCTCTCATGAGGACCGCCACAGCAATGGAAGACCCAGAGTTACCTCTGCTGCAGAGGATAAGTTCATTAGAGTTACTAGCCTCAGAAATTGTAGCCCAAATAAATGCTTCGCAGAGTTCAAGTAACAGACACACCTCAACATCAACTGTTCAGAGGGGACTGTGTGAATCAGGCCTTCATGGTCGAATTGCTGCAAAGAAACCACTACTAAAGGACACCAATAATAAGAAGAGACCTGCTTGGGCCAAGAATCACAAGCAATGGACATTAGACCGGTGGAAATGTGTCCTTTGGTCTGGAGTCCAAATTTGAGATTTTTGGTTCAAACCGCCGTGTCTTTGTGAGACGTGGTGTGGGTGAACGGATGATCTCCGCATGTATTTTCCACCGTAAAGCATGGAGGAGGAGGTGTTATGGTGTGGGGGTGCTTTGCTGGTGACACTGTCTGTGATCTATTTAGAATTCAAGGCACACTTAACCAGCATGGCTACCACAGCATTCTGCAGCGATACGCCATCCCATCTGGTTTGGGCTTAGTGGGACTATCATTTGTTTTTCAACAGGACAATGAACTCCAGGCTGTGTAAGGGCTATTTTACCAAGAAGGAGAGTGATGGAGTGCTGCATCAGATGACCTGGCCTCCACAATCCCCCAACCTCAACCAAATTGAGATGGTTTGGGATGAGTCGGACGGCAGAGTGAAGGAAAAGCAGCCAACAAGTGCTCAGCATATGTGGGAACTCTTTCAAGACTGTTGGAAAAGCATTCCAGGTGAAGCTGGTTGAGAGAATGCCAAGAGTGTGCAAAGCTGTCATCAAGGCAAAAATATATTTAGATTTGTCTAACACTTTTTTTGGTTACTACATGATTCCATATGTGTTATTTCATAGTTTTGATGTCTTCACTATTATTTTACAATGTAGAAAATAGTAAAAATAAAGAACACCCTTGAATGAGTAGGTATGTTCAAACTTTTGACTGGTACTGTATACACACACACACACACACACACACACACTTACTTAGTGGGGGACACCACCTCGAAGCAGAACCTCCTCTCTCCATCCTCGCAGGGTTTGACTGAACACAGCCTCAGGTCCTCCACCACAACCGTCAGGGCATCCTATTGGCAGAGAGCAGTGTCAATCAAAACACAACATCCTTTCATTGGCTGAGAGCAGTGTATCTTTAGCCCCTACACTTGCAATTTAGTCAGGTGGCCACCACAGATTGATTTTGCCTCAAATCCAATATGGCGTCCAAAATCCAATATGGCTGCCATAGTACCATTTGATGGAAGTCAAATCACCTGTAAATATGAATTTTGTAGATATATTGGCCATATTGGATTCAGAATTGTGTCCAACACAACAACATAATTACGCTAAGACACCTTCGCCTGCACCCTGGTTTACTTTGTATTTTGTTATTCTTTAAAAGGGTTTCATACGGCTCTTGATATAACCAGGACTATGAGTGGCACTTCCATGCCTCTGTAGTGTTTGAATAGATGAAGCCAACTTAGCTGTTCAATGTGTTCATGTTGTTCACTACACAACCACATAGTACTGTAGTTACAGGAAAACAACCTGTAACACAACAACCAGCCACTCTAGCAGCATCTATGTACAGCTATACATTTTACGTCATTTAGCAGACGCTCTTATCCAGAGTGACTTACAGGAGCAATTAGGGTTAAGTGCCTTGCTCAAGGGCACATCGACAGATTTGTCACCTAGTCGGCTCGGGGATTAGAACCAGCGATCTTTCGGTTACTGGCACAACGCTCTTAACCACTAAGCTACCTGCCGTTTCTGAAACTAAGTGTGCAAGGTTGATTCAAAGTCTTTGAGGTGTCCAGGACATGAGTGTGTCCTAACAGGGAAGAGGCAAAGTAACCAGTAGTGGTTGTAGTTCTGGGGCCTGACCAGGTTGTAGTTCTGGGGCCTGACCAGGTTGTAGTTCTGGGGCCTGACCAGGTTGTAGTTCTGGGGCCTGACCAGGTTGTAGTTCTGGGGACTGACCAGGTTGCACAGCTAACTGGTCATTCTGGGCAAGCTGCAGCGACTAGGGTAGGATCCTTCCTGTATGACCGGCAGGGTATTGGGGCTGGGTGGTGATCAGTTTCCCTTTCTAAAACAGATGGGTGCAGACACTCAGCAGATTCCAGTTCAGGTGTCACATGGGCTGGCCAGCCACAGGGGGTAGTAGAATAGGTACATATAAGGGCAATGCATGCCAGCACTTTCCAGATGGCATTTTGGCTGTTGGATGGCCTCGTGTTGAATGACCTCCTGACATGCGGGCCTCCCGAGTGGCTCAGCGGTCTAAGGCACTGCATCGCAGTGTTTGAGGCGTCACTACAGACCCGGGTTCGATCCCAGACACAGCCGGCTGTGACCGGGAGACCCATGAGGCGGGGCACAATTGGCCCATCGTCGTCCGGGTTAGCGGAGGGTCTGGCCGGCCGGGATTTCCTTGTCCCATCGCGCTCTAGCGACTCCTTGTGGTGGGCCGGGAGGCTGACGGTGTTTCCTCCGACACATTGGTGCGGCTGGCTTCCGGGTTGAGTGAGCAGTGTGTCAAGAAGCAGTGCGGCTTGGCAGGGTCGTGTTTCGGGGGACGCATGGCTCTCGACCTTCGCCTCTCCCAAGTCTGTAGGGGAGTTGCAGCGATGGGACAAGACTGTAATTACCAATTGGATATCATGTAAAAGAGAAGAAAAAAACTAAGAAAACATGAATGGCAACTCAAAAGCAGACTGGGCGATTCAGGTTTGCATTGACTTTGGATAGGCACAATTCCTATGACATGTGAAGTACAATTAAGTTGATGGAACTTCTCATCAATGAGTGTCAGGGTGTGTTGGTTTAATGTGATGAACACCTGCCTTATGCGCTTGTCAACGTGTGTGCTTGCATCCACCATAATGTCTCCAGGTCAACATGATTTTCTGGAAATTTTAGTTATTTTTTCAGGCTCAACTCAAACAGCAGAAGAGTGCACCGGAACATCCCAATGAGCATCACAAATGCAGTGAGCCAGTGGAAGGTCATGTTGGATTCAGGCAGCCGTATTGGACTAGCAATTAATCAAAGCTTACTTCTACATAAGAGCCAAATCCTGGAGGCACAAGTTATACCACAAGTTGTAGAGCCAGGGAGAGGATGTCCAGGGTTCTCTATCCTTTTGATGGAGCCTCCCAGTTGGCCTCATTGATCCTCAAATAGGCTTGTGACTTGGAATATTTGGTGTTGCCATGCCAAGCAGTCTGCTGTCTTTTCTATATCCATACCAATGGTGTTTAATTATGGCAGACCTACTGGATTCCCAGCATAGTGTAATTACACAACATTGATATTGAGTACAGGTCATAAATACAGTACACACATTTAAAATATATTCAGGTGATTAAACCACCATTTAATGGTATAGTGGCAGCCATATTGGATTTGGGATGCAATAATGGATTTGGAGCAGAGGGGGGGGAACAGGGGGGGCGAGGGACGGGGTTTGGGGGGAGGGGGAAAGGGGGATCGGGGGGGGGAAAAGGGGGGGGGCCGAAAGGGGGGGGGGGGAAAGGGGAAAAGGGAGGGGGGGGGGGGGGGTTTTGGGGAGGGACGGGGGAGGAGGGGGGGGGGAGGAAAAGGGAGAAAGGTAAGGGAAAGGGAGGGGGGGAGAGGAAAAAAAAAAAAAGGGGAAGGATAAGGGGAGGGGAAAGGGAAAGGAGGAGGGAAAAAGGGGGGAGGAGAGGGGGAAAAAGGGGGGGGGAGGATAAAGAGGGAAAGGGGGGGGAATTTGAAAAAGGGGGGGAAAAAACCAAAGAGAAAAAAGGAGAAAGCGGGAGGGGGTTTTAAAAAGAGAAAAGGGGGAGGGAGGAAAGAGAAAAGGGGGGGGGGGGAAAAAAGGAGGGGGGGAAAGGGTAAGGGGTTTTTTAGGAGGGGGGGATTGAAAGGGGGACAAAGGGGGGAGGGGGGAGGCAAAAGGGGAAGGGAAAGGGAAGAAGGAAAAAAGGGGGGAGGGAGGGAAAAAGGGGGGAAAAAAAAAGGGGAAAAAAGAAGGGGGACGGGGAGGGGGGAGGGAAAAAAGGGAGGAGCGGAGTGAAGAGCATTAATAAAAGGGGATGTTGGTGAAATGATTAATGTTCTGTAGTTATTGGGGGCAGGGCATACCCTTTGGGTTTAAATTTTGGACCCCTCAACAAATTTCCAAAAAACCCCATTTGGACCCCCTTTGGGTCCATATTATTCTAAAAAGCTAAAGAGGGGAACGGGGGGGGGGGGGGGGAGACTTAATTTTGGTTCACGCAATAAGGGAAGGGGGGAGGGAAAGGGGAAAGGGAAGGAGAAAAGGGGGGGGTATGCCCGTTTTACCTTACAAGGGGGGAACCCGGTTTTTAGGCAATCAAGTAATTTAAAAACCCTCGGGGGAAAAAAAAACCTTGGAAAAAACTGAAAAAGAAAGTTAGTGCAGAAAAAAAAAAAAAAAAATAAGGGGGGGGAAAAGATTTGAAAGGAGGGGGGGGAAAAAAGAGGGGGTTTTTTAAGGGGAAAATGGGGGAGGAAATAACAAAAAAGAAAAAAGTAGAAAGTTTTTTTAGGGTTTAGAGAAAAGAGAAAAAAGGAGAAGAAGGGAAGAAGGAAAAGAGGGGGGAAAAAGAAAAAGACTGAAAAATTTTTTTGATAAAAAGCACCTGCCAACATAACGCTATCTAAATGGAAAACCGGCGGGTTAAGGAAAAGGGGTAAAATGTCCCGCCAAAGGCTTGGGGGGGGTACGGGGAAAAACAACACGGTGGAAGGCCCTTTTGGTCATATTAAAATTGAAAAGTTAAGAGACGGAAAAAAGGGGGGGGGAAGGATTCCCGGGGGGCATAAATTACAGGGGGGGGGAAGGGGGGGAAAGGGGAGAAAAAAGGAAAAGGGATGGAAGGGAAAAAGAGAGGGGGGAAAGCCAAAAAAAAGAACCCCTAGCCGTCGGGAAAAAATCGAGCGATGGAAAGGTCCTGTCAAGACCCTTCCAGCCTTCGGGAAGGGCCAATAACGGATATAAAAAAAGGGGGAAAGAGGGTTTTGAGTAAAAAAAAATTTGGGGGCTTTTGGTCTCCCACTCCTTTGGAGGGAAGAAGGAGGGGTCCCGCCCCCCCAAAGGACAGGGGGGGGGAAAACACATTTTTTGGGGGGGTTTTTGAAAAAGGGGACAGGCGGAGTGGAAAGCCGTTCCCAGGAACCCAAAAACCTGAAGGAGGGGAAAAGGTCTTTTGGGGGGAAGGGGGCCAAAAATGCTGAGGTGGAAGGGGGAAAAACCTCAGGAAACGAGACCTTTTAAGAAAAAAAGGTTGTTTTTTTCCCCCAAAAATTAAGTTTGCTTTTTGATGTATAAAATACTTGTATGCAAAAATGCAAATTTTAAATTTCTTTAAAAATCATACAATGTGATTTTTTGGATTTTTTTTTAATTCCCCTCCCTTTACGTTTTTTAAGGACCCCAGATAAAAATTTCAGACCTTACATGCTTTGTAAGTAGGAAAACCCCAAAATCGGCGGATAAATATTGTTCCCCACTGTATATACAGTGGGGGAAAAAAGTATTTGATCCCCTGCTGATTCTGTACGTTTGCCCACTGACAAAGACATGATCAGTCTATAATTTTAATGGTAGGTTTATTGAACAGTGGAGAGACAGAATAACAACAAAAAAATCCAGACAAACGCATGTCAAAATGTTATAAATTGATTTGCATTTTAATGAGGGAAATAAGTATTTGACCCCCTCTCAATCAGAAAGATTTCTGGCTCCCAGGTGTCTTTTATACAGGTAACGAGCTGAGATTAGGATCACACTCTTAAAGGGAGTGCTCCTAATCTCAGTTGTTACCTGTATAAAAGACACCTGTCCACAGAAAGCAATCAATCAATCAGATTCCAAACTCTCCACCATGGCCAAGACCAAAGAGCTCTCCAAGGATGTCAGGGACAAGATAGTAGACCTACACAAGCCTGGAATGGGCTACAAGACCATCGCCAAGCAGCTTGGTGAGAAGGTGACAACAGTTGGTGCGATTATTCGCAAATGGAAAGAAACACAAAAGAACTGTCAATCTCCCTCGGCCTGGGGCTCCATGCAAGATCTCACCTCGTGGAGTTGCAATGATCATGAGAACGGAGAGGAATCAGCACAGAACTACACAGGAGGATCTTGTCAAAGATCTCAAGGCAGCTGGGACCATAGTCACCAAGAAAAACAATTGGTAACACACTACGCCGTGAAGGACTGAAATCCTGCTGCGCCCGCAAGGTCCCCCTGCTCAAGAAAGCACATATACAGGCCTGTCTGAAGTTTGCCAATGAACATCTGAATGATTCAGAGGAGAACTGGGTGAAAGTGTTGTGGTCAGATGAGACCAAAATCGAGCTCTTTGCCATCAACTCAACTCGCCGTGTTTAGGAGGAGGAGGGAATGCTGCTATGACCCCAAGAACACCATCCCCACCGTCAAACATGGAGGTGGAAACATTATGCTTTGGGGGGTGTTTTTCTGCTAAGGGGACAGGACAACTTCACCGCATCAAAGGGACGATGGACGGAGCCATGTACCGTCAAATCTTGGGTGAGAACCTCCTTCCCTCAGCCAGGGCATTGAAAATGGGTTGTGGATGGGTATTCCAGCATGACAATTACCCAAAACACACGGCCAAGGCAACAAAGGAGTGGCTCAAGAAGAAGCACATTAAGGTCCTGGAGTGGCCTAGCCAGTCTCCAGACCTTAATCCCATAGAAAATCTGTGGAGGGAGCTGAAGGTTCGAGTTGCCAAACGTCAGCCTCAAAACCTTAATGACTTGGAGAAGATCTGCAAAGAGGAGTGGGACAAAATCCCTCCTGAGATGTGTGTATACCTGGTTGCCAACTAAAAGAAACGTCTGACCTCTGTGATTGCCAACAAGGGTTTTGCCACCAAGTACTAAGTCAAGTTTTGCAGAGGGGTCAAATACTTATTTCCCTCATTAAAATGCAAATCAATTTATAACATTTTTGACATGCGTTTTTCTGGATTATTTTGTTGTTATTCTGTCTCTCACTGTTCAAATAAACCTACCATTAAAATTACAGACTGATCATGTCTTTGTCAGTGGGCAAACATACAAAATCAGCAGGGGATCAAATACTTTTTCCCTTCCCTTTTTCCACATTTTTGTTACGTTACAGCATTATTCTAAAATGGATTAAATACATTTTCCCTCAATCTACACACAATACCCCATAATGAGCCCAGCCAGAGCCCGGACTTGAACCCGATCTAACATCTCTGGAGAGACCTGAAAATAGCTGTGCAGTGACGCTCCCCATCCAACCTGACAGAGCTTGAGAGGATCTGCAGAGAAGAATGGGAGAAACTCCCCAAATATAGGTGTGCCAAGCTTGTAGCGTCATACCCAAGAAGACTTGAGGCTGTAATCGCTGCCAATGCTGCTTCTACATAGTACTGAGTAAAAGCTCTGAATACTTATGTAAATGTGATATTTCCATTTTTTTAAAATTTGTAATACATTTGCAAACCTTTCTAAACCTGTTTTTGCTTTGTCATTATGGGGTATTGTGTGTAGATTGATGAGGGAAAAAAACAATTTAATCAATTTAGAATAAGGCTGTAACGTAACAAAATGTGGAAAAAGTCAAGGGGTCTGAATACTTTCCAAATATACTATAGGTATCAGGTTATATCAGTTTCACTATCAGGTTCTCTGCTGCTAACACAAGCCATTTTTTGATCAGAGAGACACCAGGACCACTCATGTCTCCGTGGTCCTCTGTAGCTCAGCTGGTAGAGCACGGCGCTTGTAACGCCAAGGTAGTGGGTTCGATCCCCGGGACCACCCATACACAAAAATGTATGCACGCATGACTGTAAGTCGCTTTGGATAAAAGCGTCTGCTAAATGGCATATTATTATTATTATTATTATTGTCTCACCACACACACTCACTCACTCACTCTATCGCTGTAAGGACCTTTCATATCTCCTAGGATGGAGGGAGGGGTGGAGAGAGGGAGGGGTAGAGAGAGGGAGGGGTAGAGAGAGGGAGGGGTAGAGAGAGGGAGGGGTGGAGAGAGGGAGGGGTGGAGAGAGGGAGGGGTGGAGAGAGGGAGGGGTAGAGAGAGGGAGGGGTAGAGATACCCGTTCTCCAATACCCGTTGTTGCAACAAGAAGGCAGGGTGGACTGAAAAGTTCCATTTCAGGGATTGGGTTCCAAAGTCCATAGGACAGGAGATAACCTTTGGGGGTTTCCACAAGCTGTAGCTACAGAGCTGACTGACTGACTGACTGACTGACTGTCTGTCTGTCTGTCTGTCTGTCTGTCTGTCTGTCTGTCTGCTCATCACCTAGGACTACAACCTACAGAAGTTAATAGAACTACATGATGTAGATTATTGTTATTATTGTTATTATTATTTCTGCAAAAAAGAAATCCTTCCTGGAAGGCAATTATTCTGTTCTGTTCTATTCTGTTCTGTGCCACCCTTTGTGTGTGTGTGTGTGACAACATTGCAGAACTGTTGAGGAAACGATGGGGAAAGAACACACCCCGCCTCCACACACACACACACACACACACACCCCTCCTCAGTCTGAGCTCATTGTGAAGGCAGGCAGCCGTCCTGACACAGGCCCCCCACAGGACAACACAGGCCCCCCACAGGACAACACTACACACAAAGAATCCATCACGCCTTCAGAAACAAAAAGTCTGCCACGACTATTGAAACCATCAACAGACACTCACTCACTCACTCACTCTCTCTCTCTCTCTCTCACTCACTCACTCACTCTCTCTCTACTCACATCACTCACTCACTCTGTCTCTCAATCACTCACTCACTCAACTCTCTCTGTCTCCACTCCAACTCTCTCTCTCTCTCTCGCTCTCTCTATCTCTCTCTCTCTTCTCTCTCTCTCTCTCTCTCTCTCTTTCTAATAAAACAAATAATAGCATAATTATGAAAAACAACAAAATATATTGACGTTGAGATGTGACATTCAGATGCCTCCAATCACCAACTGGGGGCCACAAAAATGTCCTGAACTCATCATGAGGGGGCTGCAGATTGTGTACCAACATCCATACACCACACACACACACACACACACACACAGCGAGCAAAACATTTAACATTTACATTTTAGTCATTTAGCAGACGCTCTTATCCAGAGCGACTTACAGTTAGTGAATGCATACATTTTCATTTTAGTGGCCCTCCTCTTGACAGCAGAGAGAACAATTTTAAAGTTTTATAGTTAATTTTGTGCAATTTACACATTTTACCAATGGTGCGGAGTGAAATGGTTGCAGTCTGTAATATATCTGAGTGAGACTGACTAACAAAATCAATTGGGTCCCCCTCCCCAGCAGGTAATTCTGCCATGATAACAAGTTTAGATAGCTGGCCGCTAAACTAACTTATCAATCTAAAAAAATGTTAGCTGACAAGGGCTAACTGAATGACTATCAGTGACTGACATACAGTAACAAGAGAAAAACAACCACATTTTGAAATTGCACCTTGTGTTTTCTACTATTGTAACTTGCAACAGTAAGTTGAGACCCCGACTGAGTTTCTAAATACATTTTGGAAATACATCCGAGGCTCATCCCCGTTTTAGAAAGATGTTATTATTGCCCTGGGAGCGTGTATGAATATTACGATCCTAATAATAAGCAACTAATAGTTCAGTCAAATCTCACCAGTGTGTAATCCAACCCGTTGAATATCTTCATCTTTAGCAGAGTACAATCCAACAACATTTCACGTTTAAAACCAAATCCTTAAAACATAAATAACAAATAAAAAGGCTACAAAAAAAAAGAAGATGCCTCCGTTCAATCGTCAAAATGATATAATTTCCAATATTCCGGTTCCAGATTGAGTCTGAGCTGAAGACTTCAGAGCACACCGGAGGAACGGAGAATAACGGCGCCTCAGAATACTGAACGTCAACAGTGTGCTCGTGCTGCAGTGATGTTCTGCGCTCCAACCCACAGCTGCTCGTGCTGGTCCCTGCTGTGTGTGTATAGCCAGGGCCGGCTCTAGCCTTTTCGGGGCACTGAGAGAGATTTGGGATTTGGTTGCGGGGCCCCCCACCTCGCGGCAAAAACATTTTAGTGCCCCCCCCCCCCTCTTGATGGTGGAGAGAATATTTTTTTTGTTTTAAAGTTTATTTCCTGTAATTCTACACATTTTGCCATGGGGTGTAGAGAAAATATTGCAGGTTTAAAACACGTTTTCTGGGATGGAGAGAACTTTGCAATTTTATAACAAAATTCATGCAATTCTACACATGTTGTAATGAGTTATGCCATGTTAATAGGATATCTGAGTGGGAGTGACTAACAAAATCAATGGGGACCCCCAGGGAGGTCAGGGCCCTGCATGCCCGGTCGGTATTCAGCCATGATTACTACAAGTTTAGATAGCTGGCTAGGCTAACTACCAATCAAAAATGGTTAGCTGACATGGCTAATTGAGTCACTGTCAGTGACTGACATACAATAACAAGAGGAAAAAACTGCTGATGCACCACCAAATTTCGAAATTGCACCTGGTGTATTCTCCTATTGTAACTGTCAACAGTAAACTGAGACCCCGACTGAGTTCATATTATTTGTATGGGGTCAAGGGCCCCCCTAGTGGCCTGGTGCCGGCCCTGTGTATAGTGGCGTGGTTGGTTAGTTCAAGTGCACAGACTCCCTCATTAGCATACAGCTGTCATTTACGTGCCCCGGTGACCCTGTCGCGCTCGCAGAAACCGCTGCCATGGAAAAGCCACCGCTTGCGCCCTGCGCGCAGAGGAAAAGTTTTGAGATTTTAAAGAAAAACCGGGGAGGGTTCCCCCCTTTCCCCCCTCGTTTTCCTCTCCCCCCCTATTTTTCCCTTTTTTCCCCCCCCGCCCCTCCTTTCCCCTCTGGCCCGGAAGAGCCTGGGATTATCGCCGAGAGTCTATTGGGCCCTAATAAAAACAATTTGGTCCCACACACCCCGGTCCCACCCCGCCCCCCACCTAAAAGTGTTAGGTGTTAAAGGGATTTTGACAAGTTAGGGGTTAAGGGATGGTTTTGAAAATGTTTTTAAAAGGGGAGGTTTTTTTTGGGGGAAAAAAAGGGAGGGGGGGGAGAAAAGGGGGACCTTTTTTTAAAAAGGGGGGGCCCCCTGTTAGAGGGGTGAGGGGAAAAAAATTTGCTGGAATAGAAAATTTATTTTAAAAACCCCCTTTCCCAAAAAAAGAAATTTTAAAGAAAAAAAACAAGGGAAGGGCCCAAAAAATTTTTAAATAGCCCCCCCCAGAACCCGATTTTTACCAAACCCTTCCCCCAAAATACCCTCCCCACCCTTTTAATACCCTTAAAGAAAAAAAAAGGGAGGGGAAAAGGCTGGGGGACCCCGGGAAAGGAAAAGGGGGAAAAAAAGGGGGGGGGGGGGGGAGGGGAGAAAAGGGGGGGGGGGGGCCCCCCCCAAAGGAAGGGGGGAGGGCAAGGAAAGGGGGAGGGGAGGCGGGGGGGGGGGGGGGGCCGGGGGAAAGGAAAGGGGGGGGGGGGAAAGAGGGCGGCGAGGGGGGTGCCGGGCGAACGGGGGGAGCGGGGGGCGCGCCCGCGGGCCCCCCCCCCGGGCGGCGGGGCGGGGGGGGCGGGGCCCGGGGGGGGGGCCCGGAGGGCGGGGGGGGGAGAGCAGGGAGAGAGAGGCGGAAGAAAGGGAAAAAAACAAAACCCACACCCCCCCACCAAGCCCCCACCAGGAGGGGCCCCCTTTGCCACCCCCTTTTTTTCCCCCCTCCCAGAAACCACCGCCCTAAACCCTCCCGCGAAAAGAGGGACCAGCCTCGGTTTACCCGCCTGCCTTGGGGGGAAGGAGGGAAGTTTAGGATGGAATCATGCCCATTGGGCTTCCCGTTGGGGGGAAAAGAAAGGGGGTTGCCGCCCTTGGTCTCCTTTAAGGTTCCCTTTTTTATTTTTTTTGATTGCACAATAAACCTTTCAGTAAACCGTTCGGGCTATCCATAGTAGAACCCGTTTTGGGTTATCCCCAGTTAAAACAGTTAGGGTTACCCCCCACAAAAAAATTATATATATTATATATTATATATATATATATATATATATATATATATATATATATACAGTACCAGTCAAAAGTTTGGACACACCTAGTCATTCAAGGGTTTGTCTTTATTTTTACTATAATAGTGAAGACATCAAAACTATGAAATAACACATATGGAACCACAAAAGTGTTAAACAAATCAAAATATATTTGAGATTTGAGATTCTTCAAATAGCCAACGTTTGCCTTGATGACAGCTTTGCACACTCTTGGCATTCTCTCAACCAGCTTCATGAGGTAGTCACCTGGAATGCATTTCAATTAACAGGTGTGCCTTGTTAAAAGTTAATTTGTGAAATTTCTTTCCTTCTTAATGTGTTTGAGCCAATCAGTTGTGTTGTGACAAGGTAGGATTGGTATACAGAAGATAGCCCTATTTGGTAAAATACCAAGTCCATATTATGGCAAGAACAGCTCAAATATGCAAAGAGAATTGACAGTCCATCATGACTTTAATACATGATGGTCAGTCAATATGGACAATTTCAAGAACTTTGAAAGTTTCTTCAAGTGCAGTCGCAAAAATCATCAAGCGGTATTATGATGAAACTGGCTCTCATGAGGACCGCCACAGGAACGGAAGACCCAGAGTTACCTCTGCTGCAGAGGATAAGTTAATTAGAGTTACCAGCCTCAGAAATTGCAGCCCAAATAAATGCTTCACAGAGTTCAAGTAACAGACACATCTCAACATCAACTGTTCAGAGACTGCATGAATCAGGCCTACATGGTCGAATTGCTGCAAAGAAACCACTACTAAAGGACACCAACAAGAAGAAGAGACTTGCTTGGGCCAAGAAACACGAGCAATGGACATTAGACCGGTGGAAATGTGTCCTTTTGGTTTGATGAGTCCAAATTTGAGATGTGTAAGGGCTATTTGACCAAGAAGGATAGTGATGGAGTGTTGCATCAGATGACCTGGCCTCCATAATCACCTGACCTCAACCCAATTGAGATGGTTTGGGATGAGTTGGACGGCAGAGTGAAGAAGGGCAACAAGTGCTCAGCATATGTGGGAACTCGTTCAAGACTGTTGGAAAAGCATTCCAGGTGAAGATGGTTGAGAGAATGCCAAGAGTGTGCAAAGCTGTCATCAAGGCAAAGGGTGGCTACTTTGAAGAATCTAAAATATATTTTGATTTGTTTAACACTTTTTTGGTTACTACATGATTCCATATGTGTTATTTCATAGATTTGATGTCTTCACTATTATTCTACAATGTAGAAAATAGTGAAAAATAAAGAAAAACCTTTGAATGAGTAGGTGTTCTAAAACTTTTGACCGGTAGTGTATTTCATTTTTTTTTTTTTTTTAGGAACTCAGTCCGGCTTGAAAGTTGTAATAGTAGAATGCACAAGGTGCCATTTCTAAATTGGGTCGTACATCATCAGTTCCTTTTGTCATGTCAGTCACTGCACACCTTAGATCAACTAGCCCATGTCAGCTAACGTTTTTTTATTTCGTTTTTTTTTCGCACATAGATCATTCTTGTAATTTTTTGTCACTCATATCACATGAATACACATTAGACTTGGTAAAAATGTAGAGAATTGCAAAATAATTAGCTTTAAAACTGCAACATTTTCTTTTCACCACATGACAAAATGTGTAGAATTGCAGGGAATAAGCTTTAAACCTGCAAAATGTTCTCTCTGCCAACAAGAGGGCTGTGAACAGTTTGTGTCATGAACAGTGCTGGTGCCCATAGAAATAGAAGTGGTGCGCGGGGGGGGGCGGGATGTTCCCCGATGCTGGAAGGGGGGCTCAGAGTGAAAAAGTTTAGGAACCCCTGTTTTAGAGGATGATGGGACTGGACATGACAGTGTAGTGGAGCATCAGAACATGACAGTGTAGTGGAGCATCAGAACATGACAGTGTAGTGGAGCATCAGGACATGACAGTGTAGTGGAGCATCAGAACATGACAGTGTAGTGGAGCATCAGAACATGACAGTGTAGTGGAGCATCAGAACATGACAGTGTAGTGGAGCATCAGAACATGACAGTGTAGTGGAGCATCAGAACATGACAGTGTAGTGGAGCATCAGAAGATGACATCAGAACATGACAGTGTAGTGGAGCATCAGAACATGACAGTGTAGTGGAGCATCAGAACATGGCAGTGTAGTGGAGCATCAGAACAAGACAGTTTAGTGGAGCATCAGAACATGACATCAGAACATGACATCAGAACATGACAGTGTAGTGGAGCATCAGAACATGACAGTTTAGTGGAGCATCAGAAGATGACAGGGGGAGATGTAGGCAGAAGTAATAGTAAAGTTAGCCAGTCAGAGCCCTCCTACTACTAGTAAAGTTAGCCACAGTCAGAGCCCTCCTACTACTAGTAAAGTTAGCCAGTCAGAGCCCTCCTACTACTAGTAAAGTTAGCCAGTCAGAGCCCTCCTACTACTAGTAAAGTTAGCCAGTCAGAGCCCTCCTACTACTAGTAAAATTAGCCAGTCAGAGCCCTCCTACTACTAGTAAAATGAGGTAGAGTAAAGCATAGGAAAGACACTAAGAGTTGGAGTTTGTATACTGAATGGGTAGTCAATGCAGACAGACAGACACACAATGGCAGCAGTTTAATGGAGCCTGTTGTGGTGTCTTTTCAGAGGCCACACAATAACTCCGTCATGAGTTCATTGTACCAGCTGGCCTTGAGTCTAGTACACCCCCCCCCCCACACACACACAGACATCAACCAAACTCTCCAACACAAATGCAAAAATGCAAACACAAAAAAGAAAAAAAAAAAAAGAAAAGAAAAAAAGCAGACAAGAAAAAGAAGACAGAGGGAGAAAAAAGAACAGAGGCAAGACGAAACAACGAGAAAAGACAAAAAAAAAAGAGGAGAGAGAAAAAACATAAAAGGGAAAAAAAGAAGGCAGAAAAAGCAGACACACAAAAAGAGAAAAGCAAAAAGAAAAGAAAAGCACGAAAGAGAAGAGAAAAAAGAAGAACAAAGCAAGCAGAAGAGGAGAAAAAAGAAGAAAGAGGAGGAGAGACAGACAAGCAAAAAGAAGAAGAGAAAGGAGGAAGAGCAGACAAAAAAAGAAGGAACAGACGAAAACGAGAAAAGAAAAAAGAAGAAGAAGAAGAGAAAGAAGGCAAGAGAAAACAAGAAGAAAAAGAAAAAAGAAGAAAGAGGCAAAGGAGAAAAAAGAAGAAACAAGAAAAAGCAGAAAGAAGAAGAGACAACAAGAAGAAAACGAAAACAGAGCAAAGAGAAACAGAAGCAAACGAAAGAACGAGGAAAAAGCAACGAGAACAACAGCAAGAAAAGCACAAACAGAGCAGACCAAAAGAACAGTAAGAACACCGACAATCAACGCACAAACGACAAAAAGAAAAAACAAGCCGAGACAGCAAACAACCCACAGAAAAAGACCAGACAAGACGACGGAAGCACACCAAGAAGAAACCATACAACAAGCAAAGCGAGAGAAAAAAGAAGAAAAACCAAAACTCAACAAAGATCTACGAGAGAGAAAACCAAGTCCATGCGCCATGCTCAAATAACTACGATAGCACTCCCATTCGCCCCATCACCACCTCCCCCATCCTTTAAGTACTCACCTCCATCAGAGTCTGCAGAAGAGAAGAGACCATTGGTAGAAAGGAGAGAAAGAAACAAATGACTGTTAGGACAATCACATGGTCAGGAAGTAAACTGACATGTAGTTAGTGGTTATATGGTGAGTAACCCTTGATAAGATCAGTAGCCCTTGATAAGATCAGTAGCCCTTGATAACGTAAGTAGCCCTTGATAACATGAGCAGCCCTTGATAACGTGAGCAGCCCTTGATAACGTGAGCAGCCCTTGATAAGGTCAGTAGCCCTTGATAACATGAGTAGCCCTTGATAAGGTCAGTAGCCCTTGATAACATGAGCAGCCCTTGATAACGTGAGCAGCCCTTGATAAGGTCAGTAGCCCTTGATAACGTGAGTAGCTCTTGATAACGTGAGTAGCCTGAACGCTTCACTGGCACAGCATCAGGCTGTAGAGGCCAGAGCCAAGACAGAAAAACACCCACAAACTCTCTCACACACACACACAGAGAGAGACCTGACCGAATTGTAAATGGCCCAGCCTGATATTTGAAGAGTCCCAAAGCCAGCAGTAGACGCAAGCGCGCACGCACACACACACACACACACACACACACAGTGTGTTAGAACAGGATATTGTCCTTTCTAAGTAAAGAGCTCTTTTAGCTGTTCCAGACAACCACAAATAAAAGTCCCAAAACAAACTCACTCAAATGTTTTTGACAAAAGAGAAGAATGTACTTTCATAAAATAGTCTTATTTTAACTCTGTAAGAGTCCAAAAGTGAAAAACAAGTCACTGAGTTGAAGTTATTCTAATCATAATACATGGCTAGCATTTTGTTGTTGTACTTCACTGTTCTCACAATCAAAGCAGACAGAAAGACGTCTCTAATCCCAAACAGCAAATGTTGAAATCTCTGGCTAAGCACAGAGAAGCTTTCATGAATGTTTGCTCTATTTTTAAATGAACAATCTTTTGATGCTAAAATAAGCGTCGTTAGTCCTGAAGAGACCCGTGGTTTTCAGATGGAGACAGCTCTGTTTGATATGTTGAGATGCAGTTCATTTTATACAGTTATTTGATATTAATTTTAAAAAACATAATGTCACATTAAGGTTTTCACTGACTGAAAGCATTTCTGTGTGTGTGTGTGTGTGTGTGTGTGTGTGTGTGTGCGCGCTTCAGGAGGAAGGCCAATGGAAAATTGGACACTCGTGCTGTGGGCTTTGGAGTCTGGTCAGAACTGGCCGGACCTCAACGACCTGTGCAACCGGACTGGAGAGGAGCTCAGATGGAGACAGACTGGAGAGGAGCTCCGACGGACACGCAGACTGGAGAGGAGCTCCGACGGACACGCAGACTGAGCCAGTGACTGTCTCTGCAGTTGTGACAGACCCCTGGGTTGCCGTGGAGGCTTCTGTCCTCCATGATGGAACATCTCATCCTAACATCCAGGACAACACTCCTCGGTATCAGACGGAGAGAGCTACGCAACACTGGACTGGCCTGAGTCTGGAGGGGAAACTCACTGTTCTGAGTCTGCAGGGGAAACTCACTGCTCTGTGTCTGCAGGGGAAACTCACTGCTCTGAGTCTGCAGGGGAAACTCACTGTTCTGAGGCTGCAGGGGAAACTCACTGCTCTGAGTCTGCAGGGGAAACTCACTGTTCTGAGTCTGCAGGGGAAACTCACTGCTCTGAGTCTGCAGGGGAAACTCACTGCTCTGAGTCTGCAGGGGAAACTCACTGTTCTGAGTCTGCAGGGGAAACTCACTGCTCTGAGTCTGCAGGGGAAACTCACTGCTCTGAGTCTGCAGGGGAAACTCACTGCTCTGAGTCTGCAGGGGAAACTCACTGCTCTGAGTCTGCAGGGGAAACTCACTGCTCTGAGTCTGCAGGGGAAACTCACTGCTCTGAGTCTGCAGGGGAAACTCACTGCTCTGAGTCTGCAGGGGAAACTCACTGCTCTGAGTCTGCAGGGGAAACTCACTGTTCTGAGTCTGGAGGGGAAACTCACTGCTCTGAGTCTGCAGGGGAAACTCACTGTTCTGAGTCTGCAGGGGAAACTCACTGTTCTGAGTCTGCAGGGGAAACTCACTGCTCTGAGTCTGCAGGGGAAACTCACTGTTCTGAGGCAGCAGGGGAAACTCACTGTTCTGAGTCTGCAGGGGAAACTCACTGCTCTGAGTCTGCAGGGGAAACTCACTGTTCTGAGTCTGCAGGGGAAACTCACTGTTCTGAGTCTGCAGGGGAAACTCACTGTTCTGAGTCTGCAGGGGAAACTCACTGCTCTGGACTGTGCTGACCGCTCTGTCTCCCATTCCATGTACCAGAATGCTGCCATTGGCCAGGACATTCTCACCTTTACCTAGCACACTGGTACCCTGCAAACCATGATCCATTGTGTATTCTACATGAGTCAAATGTAATGGAGTCTGTTGCCCATGTTGTGAATAGTTGCTGTTCATATAAGGACCTATACATAGCATGACTGCCTTGTTGACCTGGTAGCCAGGTAGTCTCACCAACAGCAAACAATCATAAACATTCTTGTGTAAGAGGAAGTTGGTTTTGATGGTGATGCGTTTTCCTGTGTGCCAAATGTTGTTGTTGTTGTGGGGGGGAGGCCAGAGGGAGGTGGGCTGTATCACCGCTACATGGAGCAGTCCTTTACCCACAATCTTCTAAAATACCAGCCCCTCGTAGCTCGCTTGAACAGCCTTGGACATGGGTGTGCAAGCTGCTAGCACTGATATTTGTCAGTCTTGGCCACGTATGTAGGCTTGCAGTACGTAGCCTTCAGATTGTGGGTCAGACACCTTAAGATTGTGGGCCAGACACCTTCAGATTGTGGGCCAGACACCTTCAGATTGTGGGCCAGACACCTTCAGAATGTGGGTCAGACACCTTCAGATTGTGGGCCAGACACCTTCAGATTGTGGGCCTGCCAAAGACCAAGGCAAAGCAGCTGGCGAGGTTCTGCTCTGTGTCAGCGGTCATGGGCAGTCTTGCCGTGTTAAAGAGGAGGTGCTTTTTGTACCCTTCAGTGTCCATGTACACAGGGACCTTTTGAGATATTTGGATCCTTGATTAATGTAAATCTGATTCGTGAATGGAAATAAAGTATTTAAAATGTTGGATGCGCGATAGAGAGAGTACCTACTAAGAAGAGAAAATTCGAGAAGGAAGTTTGGGAACCGGACATGGATTACAGAAGAGGAGTTGGGAACCAGGACTGATGAGACGGCGAGGATTGGGAACAGAAACTGATAGCGACTGAGAGGTATTGTGGGAACACAGACTGATAGAAAAGGAGAGGGTTTGGGACAGGACGGATAGAGGAAGGAAAGAGGGTTGGAACAGGACTGAATAGAGAAGGAAAAGGTTTGGGAACAGGACTGGATAGAGAAGAAGAGGTTTGTTTGAGGAACGGACTGAAATGGAAGAATGAAGATGGTGGACAGGATTGATAGAGAAGGAAGAGTTGGGAACAGATTGATAGAGAAGAGAAGGTTGGAGAAACAGATATGATAGAGAAGAAGGGTGGAACAGGATTGATTGAGAAGGAGAGGTTGGAAACAGGAAATGATAGATAAGGAGGGGTTGGGAACAGGACTGATTGAGAATGAGAGGTTGGGAACAGGATTGATGGAGAAGGAGAGGTTGGGAACAGGACTGATAGAGGAGGAGAGGTTGGGAACAGGATTGATAGAGGAGGAGAGGTTGGGAACAGGATTGATAGGGAGGAAGGTTGGAACAGGACCCTGATAGAAAGGAGAGTTTGGGCGAACAGGACTGAAATGGAAGAATGTTAGAACAGGGATATGCTAGAGAAAGGAGAGGTTGAGGAAACAGAGATTGAATTGAGAAATTGAAGAGGTTGGGAACAGGATTGATAGAGAAGGAGAGGTTGGGAACAGGATTGATTGAGAAGGAGAGGTTGGGACCAGGAAATGATGGCGAGGGTTGGGAACAGGATTGATAGAGAAGGAGGGGTTGGGAACAGGACTGATAGAGAAGGAGAGGTTGGGAACAGGACTGATAGAGAAGGAGAGGTGGGAACAGGACTGATAGAGAACAGGAGAATAATTTGCACAGGAATGATAAGATAAGAGAGGGGTTGGGAAAAACCAGGAAACGATAGAGAAAAGAGAGGTATGGGGAACATGACCTGATGAAGAAGGAGAGTTGGGAACAGGAAATGAATAGATAGGAGGGGTTTGGGAACCGGACTGATCGAGAAGGAGAGGTGAACAGGAACTGTGGAGATGTTGAGCCCCAGGACTTGCTAAGAGTCCAGGACGCGTGTTGGGACCAGGATTAGGCTTGTGTGAGACGGAGAGGGATTGGACCCGTATTGCAATCGACAACGCACAGGCAGCACGGTGTTGGGCACAGGATTGAATTGAACAGGAAGCGTTTGGAGACCCGCTCTGAATGGCGCAGGTTGAGGAACAGGATTGGATCAAAGAGAAGGGGGGGTTGGACAGACAGATAGAGAAGGAAAGAGTTGGGAAAACAGGAACTGTATCGAGAGGAGCGGGTGTGGGAACAGGACCTAGTAGAGAAGGAGAGGTTGGGAACAGGAATGATAGATAAGGAGGGGTTGGGACAGATGATAGAGAAGGGAGAGGTTGGGAACAGGACTGATAGAGAAGGGAGAGGTGGAAAACAGACTGATAGAGAAGGAGAGGTTTGGGAAAACAGGACTGAGATAGAGAAGGGAAAGAGGTTGGGAAACAGGGATTGTAGAGAAGGAGAGTTTGGGAAACAGGATTGTAGAGAAGGAGAGGTATTGGAACCGGGAATTGATTGAGAAGGAGAGGTTGGAAACAGGAAATGATAGATAAGGAGGGGTTGGGAACAGGACTGATTGAGAAAGAGAGGTTGGGAACAGGATTGATAGAGAAGGAGAGGTTGGGAACAGGACTGATAGAGAAGGAAGGTTTGGGATCGGGGCCTGATAGAGAAGGAAGAAGGGACTTCCGGGCAACAGGAACTATAGAGATGAGAGGGTTGGGAACAAGGAAACATTATAGAGAAGGAGAAGGTTTTGGGAAAGGGACTGATAGAGAAGGAGAGGTTGGGAACAGGAACGGATAGAGAAAGGAGAGGTTTGGGAACAGTAACTGATAGAGAAGAAGAGGTTTTTTTGGGAACAGGAAATGATAGAATAAGGAGGAGGTTTGGGAACCATGACTGATTAGAGCAGGAGAGAGTTTGGGAACAGACTGAATAGAAGAAAGAAGGTATTGGGAACAGAACTGAAATGAAAGAGAGAGTTGGGGAAACAGGAAACTGATAGAGAAGGAGAGGTTGGGAACAGGACTGATAGAGAAGGAGAGGTTGGGAACAGGACTGATAGAGAAGGAGAGGTTGGGAACAGACTGATTAGAGAAGGAGAGGGTTGGGAACAGGACTGATAGAGAGGGAGAGGTGTGGTGACCCTGAAATAGCTCGAGAAGGAAGGAGGTTAGGGAAGCAGAGGAAATGTGAGAAAGGATAGATTGGGCAACAGGACTTGAAAGAAAGAAGGAGAAGTTTGGAAAACAACTGATAGAGAAGGAAGAGTTTTTGCGGAAACCAGGAACTGATCGAAGGAAGAGGTTTGTGAACAGGACTGATTAGAAGAAGGAGATGGTATAGGGACAAGCGGACCCCTTATCATAGAAGGAAGAGGTTTTGGGAACCGGACTGATAGAGAAATGAGAGGTGGGGACAGGGACGATAGAGAAGGAGCGGTGTTGGAACAGGGGACCTGATAGGAAGCACGGAGAGGTTGGGACAGGAAATGATAGAGACGAGAAGGTTGGTGGGGCAAACAGAAATGATAGTCAGAAGGAGAGGTTTGTGGCAAACAGGACTGAATAAAAGAGAAAGAAGGAAAGGTGTTGGGAAAAACAACAGGACTGAATCGAAGCAGGCGAGGTTTGTGGAACAAGGACTGAATAGAAAAGAGAGAAAGGAGGTTTAGGACAGGGCTGAATAGAAGAAGAGAGGTTTTAGGGAACAGGCAACTGCATATAGAGGAAGGAGAGGTTTTTGGGAACGAGGACTGCTAGAGAAGAGAGGTTTGGGAACAGGAAATGCAGAGAAGGAAGAGGTTTGGGGAACAAGACCTGGATAGAGAAGGAGAAATGTTTTGGAACAAGGAAAAATGAATAGAGAAGGAGAGGGTATTGAAACAGGAAATGAATAGAGCAAGCAAGGAAGAGGTTTGGGAAACAGGAAATGAAAATAGAGAAAGAGAGTTGGGAACAATAGGAAATGGAATTAGGAAGAAGGAGAGGTTGTGGGCAACATTAATGACTGGATAGAGAAGGAAGAGGTTGGGGGAACGGACTGAATAGAGAAGTAGATGTTTTTGAGACACGATGTAACTGATTGAGAAGAGAGGTTTTTGGAACAGGAACTGATAGAGAAGGAGAGGGTTTTGTGTTGGAGACAGAAACTGACTTGAGGGGACAGGGAGAGTTTAGGGAACAGAACTGATAGAAAGCAAAGTCATCGGTATGTTTCCACACGGCCTGCTGCGCGGGACGGAGCGGTTGGGACCCCTCGTCCTTCTAGGGAAGGCAGCAGCAGAGGTTTGTTGGGCGCGGCCTGGCATCGCGCCGTCCAGCGGATTGTGGCGCCCCGGGGACGCGTTAATAGAGAAGTCGCGGTTGGGAACAGGACTTATAGATAAGGGCTAGGTTGGGAACAGGACTCGATAGAGAAGGAGATGTGGGAAAACACAGGGGACTGATAGAGAAGGGAGAGTTGGGGAACAGGACTGAATAAGAGAAGGAGTAGGTGTGGGAACAGACTGATAGAGATGGAGAGTTGGAACAATGAACCTTGGATAGAGAAGGAGAAAGGTTTTTGGAACCAGGACTGATAGAGAAGGAGAGTTGGAGAACAGGACTGGAATAGAGAAGGAAGGTTGGGAAACAGGAAACTGAATAGAAGAAGGAGAGGTTGGGAACAGGAACGAATAGAGAAGGAGAGGGTTGGAGGGAACAGGAACTGATAGATTGGAGAGGTTGGGGAACAGGACTTATAGAGAGGAGAGTTTTGGGACAGAAGCAGGACTGATAGAGAAAGGAGAGTTGGGAAAACAGGAACTGAATAGAGAAGGAGATGTATGGGGAACAGGACGGATAGAGAAATGAAGAGGTTGGTGGAAACAACTGGAAGTTCATAGAGGAGAGGTTGGGAACGGGAAATGGAACTGACAGAGAAGGATAAAGTTGGAAACAGGAAAGACAGAAGAAGGGAGGTTTTTGGGAACAGGACTGATTAGAGGAAGGAGAGTTTGGAAAAGGAACCTGATAGAGAAGGAGAGGTTCGAGAAGCAGGAAATTGACAGAGAAGGAGAGGTTGGGAACAGGAAATGACAGAGAAGGAGAGGTTGGGAACAGGAAATGACAGAGAAGGAGAGGTTGGGAACAGGAAATGATAGAGAAGGAGAGGTGGGAACAAGGACTTACAGATAGAGAAGGAGTCGGTTTTGGGAACAGATTGAACAGAGAGAAGGAGAGGTTGGGAACAGGACTGACAGAGAAGGAGAGGTTGGGAACAGGAAATGACAGAGAAGGAGAGGTTGGGAACAGGAAATGACAGAGAAGGAGAGGTTGGGAACAGAAATGATAGAGAAGGAGAGGTTGGGAACAGGAATGATAGAGAAGGAGAGGTTGGGAACAGGAAATGACAGAGAAGGAGAGGTATTTGGTGGGGGAACAGGAAAAACTGAATAGAGAAGGAGAGGTTTGGGAAAACCAGAAAATGAAACAAGAGAGGAGAATGTTAGGGAACGGAAAATGACAGAAGAAGGAGAGGTTTTGGGAACAGGACTGAATAGAGAAGGAGAGGGTTGGGAACAGGAAATGACCAGAAAATACGGTCGGTTGGGAACAGACAATGACAGAGGAACGGAAGAGAAAGTTTGGGAACAGGAAATGATAGTAGTGAGGGATGAGAAGGAAGAGAGATTTGAGGGAGGAGAGGTGTGTGGTTCCTCACCCTGTGTTGTGTGTGTGTATAGTTCGTCACCCTCTGTTGTGTCTGTGTGTGTGTGTGTGTGTGTGTGTGTGTGTGTGGTTCCTCACCCTCTGTTGTATGGTAGCATGTTTGTGTTCCAGGTCTCTCTTCTCCATGGCTGAGTCTATGACCAGCTGATCCAGCTGCAGATTGGATCAACACAACACAGTTAGAGAGAACACACACGTGGCCTAGTCTGTGTGTTCCCAGTCTGGGTTTAGGAGTTCCTTCATTTGGCAGTTGGTCCTGTGGGATTAATGCCAGATACAATAGAGGCCAATCTCTCTCTGGGGCACCTTGTTTTCCTACTCTGTGACTGGGTCTATAATCAAACCAAACCCTCCTTATTACTAGTGTTTGTACTAGCGAGGCCTCTGTCAGCCTGACTTGGGGAGCAGGTGTATGGGGAGAGGCCCGAGGCCAACAGGTGTAAGATCTGTGGTCAGTGTTTGTGAGGTGCCTCTCTCTCACCTCTGCAGCTAGTTTCTTCATGTAGGGATCAATCTCATCCAATATGTTATAGCCCTGTTGAAACAAGGTGTACTGGGCACGCATGAACGACCATTGAGAGACAGAGCAGATGTGAGAGAGAGAGAGAGAAGGGGGAAGAGAGAGAGAGAGAGGATGAAGAGGAGATGAAAGAGAGAGAGAGAGATAAGGAGATAGAGAGAGAGAGAAGAGAGAAAGAGAGAAGAGAGAGAGAGAGAGAGAGAAGAGGATACGAGACGGAGTGAGAGAGAGAGGACAAGATCATAGAAACTATTATAGTCGGCTTCTAACGAGTTAAAGTAGAGTTAAGCCCGCATCAGAGGCTCTCGGTGCATCTTGCTTCTACTTTTTCGGTACCCCATCTCACTCTGCTATCAAGGATCTCAAACTTCTTCTTAGCCTGAAGTACATTGATCTGAAAAGATGGACAAATTACATTTAGCGACTGAAGAGATCAGTTTGATTATTAGTAACCGTCATAAATATCAACATGTAGCTATCATGTTGGAGCCCATTCACGTATATTACTTCTAGTAGAAAGATGTCAAGCCACAAATATGGACTGAGGAATCATGGCATCACATAGTGGATAGTACTGGTATTGCAGTCACTGAGAGAAGAGTGTGACGGGAACCTGAGAAAGAACTTTGGTATCCACCACATGTAGCCTGTGTATCTTTACAAGGGTTTGGTGAAGTGCAGGTGTTTCTGGGTGTTTATCAGTGTGTGGGTATGTGTGTGTGTTTATCAGTTTTGGGTTTTTTGGGGTGTTGTTTATAATGTGTGGGTGTGGTGTTTTATATGGTGGGTGGGAGTTTTATAGGGGGGGTTTGTGGGTGTTTGTGTGTTGTGTGTGTGTGTTTTATAGTGTGGGGGTTTGGTGTTTGTGTTTAATTGGGGGGGGGGGGTTGTGGTGTTTACAGTGGGGTTTGGGGTTTTTTGTGGGTTTTGGGGGGTGGGGGTGGGGGTTTTTTGGGTGGGTGTGTTTATAAGTGTTTTTGGGGGGTTTTGTGTTTTGGGGGGTTGTTTATATTTTTGTGGGTTGTGTGTTATAGGTGTGGGGGGTTTTAAAGGGGTGGGTTGTGTGTTTTATAGGTGTGGTGAGGGGTGTGTTTGTTTATAGGGGTGTGTTTTTTGTGTGTGGGGTGTTTTAAGTGGTTGTGTTGTTTTGTGTGTTTTACAGTGTGTGGGGTGGTGGTGTGGTGTGTGTTTATCAGTGTGTGTGTGTTTGGGGTGTTTTCGGGGTTTTGTGTGTGTTTATCAGGGGGGGTTGTCTTAGATAAACATTTTAACTAATTTTGGGGGTTGTCTTAGATCAACGCCAAACTATCGCTCTGGTAAGAGTGCAAAAATTTGGACAAAATGTTTAAGGGTGGCCTCTCACTGCATACTGTCCAAGGCCAGGTGCCTGAAGCCTTCCGGGTCACGGAGAGGGAGGTAGCCTCCTCACCTCGTAGGTTTGTTCCTGGGGCCGGGGCTTCTTCACCTGGGCTATCTCCATGTCCCCCTCACACGGTCAAACTCTTCTTAGTCTCCTTTGAACTTACGCCCCGCCCTACGGGGGGAAAAGGGAGGGATTTACACACCCCCTACAGGGGGGGGAAAGGAGGGAGGGGGGGGATTTACCACTCCCTACAGGGGAGGAGAAGAGGTGACACACACTCCCTACAGGGGAAGGGGGAGAAGTGACTTACCAACGCCCTACAGGGGGAAGGAGAGAGAGAGAGTGACTTACACACGTCCCTACAGGGGGAGGAGAGAGAGATGACTTACACACGTCCCTACAGGGGGAAGGAGGAGAGAGAGTGACTACACACGTCCCTACAGGGGGGAGGAGAGAGAGAGTGACTTACACACGTCCTACAGGGGGAAGGAGAGAGGGAGAGGACTACACACGTCCCTACAGGGAAAGGGAGGAGAGTGAGAGAGAGGGAAGAGAGGAGTGACTTACACACGTCCTACAGAGGAGGAAGGAGAGGAGAGGTGACTTACACACGTCCCTACAGGGGAAGGAGAGAGAGAGTGACTGACACACGTCCCTACAGGGGGAAGGGAGAAGAGAGAGTGACTTACACACGTCCCTACACGGGGAAGGAGCAGAAGGTGACGACACAGTCCACAGGAGGAGAGAGAGAGTGACTGACACACGTCCCTACAGGGGAAGGAGAGAGAGAGAGTGACTTACCACACGTCCCTACCAGCGGGAAGGAGAGAGAGAGAGAGTGACTACAACGTCCCTACAGGGGGAAGGAGAGAGAGAGTGACTGACACACGTCCCTACAGGGGGAAGGAGAGAGAGAGTGACTGACACACGTCCCTACAGGGGGGGAAGGAGAGAGAGTGACTACACACGTCCCTACAGGGAGGAAGGAGAGAGAGAGTGACTTACACACGTCCCTACAGGGGGAGGAGGAGAGAGAGTGACTTACACACGTCCCTACAGGAGGAGAGAGAGAGAGTGACTGACACACGTCCCTACAGGGAGGAAGGAGAGAGAGAGTGACTGACACACGTCCCTACAGGGGGAAGGAGAGAGAGAGTGACTTACACACGTCCCTACAGGGGGAGGAGAGAGAGAGTGACTTACACACGTCCCTACAGGGGGAAGGAGAGAGAGAGTGACTGACACACGTCCCTACAGGGGGGAGGAGAGAGAGAGTGACTGACACACGTCCCTACAGGGGGAAGGGAGAGAGAGGACTTACACACGTCCTACAGGGGGGAGGAGAGAGAGAGTTGACTGACACACATCCCTACAGGGGGAGGAGGAGAGAGAGAGGATGACACACACGTCCCTACAGGGGGAAGGAGAGAGAGAGTGACTTACACACGTCCCTACAGGGGGAAGGAGAGGAGGAGAGTGACTGACACACGTCCTACAGGGGGAAGGAGAGAGGAGAGTGACTGACACACGTCCCTACAGGGGAAGGGAAGAGAGAGAGTGACTGACACACGTCCCTACAGGGGAAGGAGAGAGAGAGTGACTTACACACGTCCCTACAGGGGAAGGAGAGAGAGAGTGACTGACACACGTCCCTACAGCGGGAAGGAGAGAGAGAGTGACTTACACACGTCCCTACAGGGGAAGGAGGGGAGAGAGAGTGACTGACACACGTCCCTACAGGGGGAAGGAGAGAGAGAGTGACTTACACACGTCCCTACAGGGGGAGGGAGAGAGAGAGTGACTTACACACGTCCCTACAGAGGAAGGAGAGAGAGAGTGACTACACACGTCCCTACAGGGGGGAGAGAGGAGAGATGAGAGTGACTGACACACGTCCCTACAGGGGGAAGGAGAGAGAGAGTGACTGACACACGTCCCTTACAGGGGGGAGGAGAGAGAGAGTGACTTACACACGTCCCTACAGGGGGAAGGAGAGAGAGAGTGGACTACACACGTCCCTACGGGGGGGGAGGAGAGAGAGAGTGACTGACACACGTCCCTACAGGGGGAAGGAGAGAGAGAGTGACTGACACACGTCCCTACAGGGGGAAGGAGAGAGAGGAGTGACTACACACGTCCCTACGGGGGAAGGAGAGAGAGAGAGAGTGACTGACACACGTCCCTACAGGGGGAGGAAGAGAGAGTGACTACCCGTCCTCAGGGGGAAGGAGAGAGAGAGTGAATGACACACGTCCCTACAGGGGGGGAAGGAGAGAGAGAGTGACTGACACACGTCCCTACAGCGGAAGGGAGAGGAGAGAGAGAGTGGAAGAGAGGAGTGACTGACACACGTCCCTACAGGGGGAAGGAGAGAGAGAAGAGAGTGACTGACACACGTCCCTACGGGCGGGAAGGAGAGAGAGAGGTGACTTACACACGTCCCTACAGCGGGAAGGAGAGAGAGAGTGACTTACACACGTCCCTACAGGGGGAAGGAGAGAGAGAGTGACTGACACACGTCCCTACAGGGGGAAGGAGAGAGAGAGTGACTTGACACACGTCCCTACAGGGGGAAGGAGAGAGAGAGTGACTGACACACGTCCCTACAGGGGGAAGGAGAGAGAGAGGAGAGAGTGACTGACACACGTCCCTACAGGGGGAAGGAGAGAGAGAGTGACTGACACACGTCCCTACAGGGGGACGGAGAGAGAGAGTGACTGACACACGTCACTACAGCGGGAAGGAGAGAGAGAGGACTGACACACCGTCCCATAAGGGGGAAGGAGAGAGAGAGTGACTTACACACGTCCCTACAGCGGGAAGGAGAGAGAGAGTGGATGACACACGTCCCTACAGGGGGGAAGGAGAGAGAGAGTGACTGACACACGTCCCTACAGGGGACAGGAGAGAGAGAGAGAGTGACTGACACACGTCCCTACAGGGGGAAGGGAGAGAGAGAGTGACTGACACACGTCCCTCCAGGGGGAAGGAGGAGAGAGAGTGACTTACACACGTCCCTACAGCGGGAAGGAGAGAGAGAGTGACTGACACACGTCCCTACAGGGGGAAGGAGAGAGAGAGTGACTGACACACGTCCCTAACAGGGGGGAGAGGAGAGAGAGAGTGACTTACACACGTCCCTACAGGGGGGAAGGAGAGAGAGAGTGACTTACACACGTCCCTACAGGGGGAAGGAGAGAGAGAGTGACTTACACACGTCCCCTACAGGGGGAAGGAGAGAGAGAGTGACTACACACGTCCCTACAGGGGGAAGGAGAGTAGAGAGTGACTGACACACGTCCCTACAGGGGGAAGGAGAGAGAGTGACTTACACACGTCCCTACAGGGGGAAGGAGGAGAGAGTGACTTACACACGTCCCTACAGGGGGAAGGAGAGAGAGAGTGACTTACACACGTCCCTACAGGGGGGAAGGAGAGAGAGAGATTGACTTACACACGTCCCTACAGGGGGAAGGAGAGAGAGAGTGACTTACACACGTCCCTACAGGGGGAAGGAGAGAGAGAGTGACTTACACACGTCCCTACAGGGGGAAGGAGAGAGAGAGTGACTGACACACGTCCCTACAGGGGGAAGGAGAGAGAGAGTGACTGACACACGTCCCTACAGGGGGAAGGAGAGAGAGAGTGACTTACACACGTCCCTACAGGGGGAAGGAGAGAGAGAGTGACTGACACACGTCCCTACAGGGGGAAGGAGAGAGAGAGTGACTGACACACGTCCCTACAGGGGGAAGGAGAGGAGAGAGTGACTTACACACGTCCCTACAGGGGGAAGGAGAGAGAGAGTGACTTACACACGTCCCTACAGGGGGAAGGAGAGAGATTTTAATTCTGTAGTTTTTGCGTCTAGCGTTACAATTACTATAGTAGTAGTTGGCAAGACAGCACAAACAGATCTGGGACCAGGCTAAGGGAACCTTGATTGCGGACCTCACACAAGGGAGATGAGAGACTGAAACATAGAGATCTATAGAGATCGCACCGTTGTATCTGTCCCATTGAGGCCATCTCCATTTTTAAGTAGTCAATTTAATTTTTCTACTACTTCTATTAGTTGGTAAATAAACTAAAAGGGTGCATACTGCCCCCTGGAGGGTGTTGTTTGAACAGGTATAAAGCCAAGGTTGGCAATTTACTGCCACCTGCAGATATGGAATGTTTGCTCACGAGGATCATTAATTGGCTGATCCCTCCTGATGACCCGGATGGAATTATGTGATTCTTCTTTAACCCACAGGAAGTCCCGCCCAGTTGACTACTTCAAAAATGGTGAAAGTCCTCAAATGGCGCCGCCCACGCTAAAATGGGCTTTTGGGTACCATAGTCCTCTATCCATCTCTATGGACTGAAATGAGCGAGGTAGGTCTACACCAAAGAAAGAAGGGATGATACTCACTCTTTGATGAAGGTGTGGAGCTGCTGTTTGATAGACCTCTGGGCCTGGTCAAATAGCATCTGTGGAGAGAGAGAGAGAGAGACCGAGAGACGGGGAGAGAGAGAGAGAGAGACGGGGAGAGGAGAGAGAGAGAGAGAGAGAGAGAGAGAGAGAGAGAGGAGAGAGAGAGAGAGCGAGAGACGGGAGAGAGAGAGAGAGAGAGAGAGAGAGAAACAGTCAATCCTCAAACCACCGCCTCGCCTCTACCAACTCTCTCGGAGGACCCTCTGTTGTCACGCGTGCTGACGAAACTCCGAGGGGTGACTTCCAGAGAGTAGCGAGGGGGTCAATAAACCCATCAACTTCGGGACAATCATAACTTGAATGATGCATGAAATTCAAATGAACAAATCCTCCCTGTCGTTGTACAAAATATAAACCTCAGTAACAGTTAAACCTTTAATTTGGGAGGCATTTAATATGTTACATGTGTCAAGTCTCAAGATCAGACATAAAGAAATACACGTATCATATACAGTAATCAGACACGTCTTGGCCTCTCCATTCTTTTGTGTGAAATTGCGCAAATTAAAAAATTACACGGTGCCTTATGGTATTCCACTTCGCTATGAAGCCGGCAGCATTGCAGGCTCGGTCGAAGTGGCTACCGGAGGACAACAATGAAAACGACCCACGGCCCCTCCCTCACCGTTAACGTCTA